TTTTCCTCTGGTTTAATGCTTTACTTGTATAGTATGTTTCCCAATGGATGGACCATATTTTATAATATTGTGAGGTAAAACGTAGTGTGAAATAAAAGATGAGAGTTTTTTAACTTCTGTCTCTTTTAAAATGTGCTTCCAAGAGAATGCTGGAGGCTTTTTGTAACTAATTATCTGATATCTGGGGTTTGATATTTGATGTGTTTAAGATGGTGTGACTTTATGTAACTTTTTCAAATTAAACTGAGAAGGCATAGTTAAACTTTGAGTGGAGAAAAAGTTTTTATTGTTACTTCAGTAATATGTTCTGTTCCACTCGTACTGCAACTAATACTCCTGCTGTAATGTAAATCTAAATAAACAGTGAGGTAACTGTATGCATGTTTTTACTGCTCTGTGTTTAAGACTGTTTACGTTTATATGTAAACAAAATTACTTTTCTAATTTCAATGCATTAAAGCTGTATGTTCAGGAATGTGGCATGTGAAGTTTCCCTGAAGGTTCAAGTGTGAGGGTACCTTTTAGACTGTTAGCATTTTCCAGAAGTACATAGTGTTTCCTGCAGTTGTCCCCATTCACTGTTCGAGATGATTCCTGATGCTTTCTATAAATTAAAGTTTCTAGATACGAGAACATTTTTTTCCCACGAGTATAACTGCTGCTTTGGCCTGAGTTTTTTATTATTTGTAGGAATTGCAAAAAGTCATAAAGTGCTATTGAGTGAGCTTTCAGGATTGCTTTATGGCAAAGTGCCAGCAAACCTGCCTGCTTTTGTCAGAGGAGAAGCCCTATTCATTTTTATTCTCGATTATAAAACAGTCTTGTTTCAGGATTGCCTTTAGGTAGATATGCCATTCTCAGAAACATTGAAGAACATGGTGAGGCATTGGACCAGAAGCTGGAGGGACTGATGTCAATGCACTTCAGGTTCTCATGAACATCGTGTTCATGAACACTACTTGTGTAGCATTTCCCTACAGATAGCTAGATCACGTGGCAGATCAGGCTTGCTTTGTCAGCTGTGCAAGTGTTCTGTGGGCTACAGGATGTCTCAAGAAATTACATAGTGAGTTTTGAAAAGGTTTCTCTGAAGCAGTACTAGTTTGAGCTCGTTGTTCTGAGTACTCGGTGTGGAGCTTCTGCTTGTAATGTTGGACCACTTATGCACTGAACTTCTTGGGTTAATATTCTGAGGGACAGTAAATATCCTACAATCAAGTGATCTTGAGTTAAGCTTAAGTTAAGCAAATGCAACTGTGATTTCCTGGCCTCCCATGATAAATCTATGTCTTTTGGGTATTGAAGGTGATTTATGATCTCCCCTCCCCCATGAATTGGGGAACTTGCAGTTGACAAATTTCAGGGGTTAGATTTAGAATAAGCTTCTTGGAGGACAAAAGTCTCGACTGATGGAAGCCCTAAAGTGTTGTTGTATCTGCATATTATCATACGTATTTTCTATCATTGTATATCTAGATAGTTGCTTCCTGACAGTATAAGAGGACAACTACTGTAGCCTAAGTTTGCACTGCATGAGAAGGGTTTCTTTCCTATCTGTATGGAATTTCTGGCGTTTATAAATGTCTAATCCTTGTGTTATGCAACAGGTAGAACAAAATACCTTGTCTTCCACTTCTTGATATCTCTTCAGAACTTTTGGCCTAGAATGTAGAGTACTTTTTTTTAATTATTATTATTATTAGAAACTTCCCAGTCTATTTTTCACATTTGTTTTCCTTGAACGGTCAGGATATTGTATCTGTAGTCTTGTGAATCACGTTAATCATAAGCCAGTATTTTCTTGTAAGATTATTAAAAACAACAATGTTGTAATACTACTGATAATCAGAAATCTGCGTTTCCTTCCCATGATATTATAGTAGTCTTCACAGTGTATAAAACCCACAAAAACCCAAACAAAAACAAAACAAAAAGCCACTTCCTTAGCTTCTCACTGGTTCATTAGGGGGCACTGCACAGCTATGGAAGAATCAGTGGGATTTGCAGGGAAACTTTCTGGATGGTTTCCAGTGGTACGATTTCACTTTCCCTGACTGCGTCTTCCAGACTGTCTGGGAGCAGTCTAAGATGAAATCGTTGCTGTAATTTAAGCTCAGTTCTGACTAAGTCTGTATCTGGTAATTATACAATACCATGCTGGAATATAAACTTTCAGATTTCTGTGTCCAGAGATGTGTGTTCATAGTAATTTACAAGACTGTCTGATTTGCCATTTATGTTGGTCTTGCACATAAGAAGACACGTACTTTTACACATTACTTTCTGAGTGCTAAACCTGGAGCATAACTACACTCCCATGACTTAGATTTAGTTTCTGTTTACCATTGGAAATAGAGTTACTCCCAATGGATCCTGATGGGGAAAAGTTAAACAACTGTTTTCTCTCCCACACTGTTTATAAATATGTATTTTGCTTTAGGACATGGAGTTTTCTGTGATAAATGCCAACAGTTTTGCAACTGGAGAGAGATTGCTGCAAAAAGCATCTTATAAGCAACATAAGATTAGAATGCTTTGCAGTAACGAATGTTAATCTGTACCAGTTTGCTTCTGAAGAGAATTTGCAGAATATTGTAGGAACTAACAAGGCTTGTTTTCAAGGAGGCTAGACTAAAACAATCTCATCCATTGTTGAAGGGTAGCAACCCAGAAATCATAGGAAGTCCAACCAGACTATTTTGATGGAACTTTGCAAAAGGCAGAGGCTGCTTTGAACTCTTGTGCAGGAAAGATGCAAAATGTTAGAGGTAGTTATACATTTTTGTTAGCTTTCTTTCAGGACTTCTGCCTTATTTGTCTGAAATCCTCTCTAAACCTAGATGATCTGCACAACCAAAGTATAGGGAAGATGATACTTCTATTAAACCTAGAGAGTAGAGTAATATGGTGGGGTAGTCTGTTCATTCTCGGGGTGATTTTTTCTCCCCAGGATCTTTTGGGAAGTAATGCTTGTGGTGCACTGTCAGCCCTATTTCAGTGATTGTCACATGAGTAGGCACTCATGCCTGATGCTGCTTAGGTTGAGAGTTTGACAGATTAAACTACTTGGACCAAAACTGCCTAGAGTAAACTTTGTGGTTATCCTTATGGCTGAAAACACAAGTAGTCTTTGGCATTGACAGCTATTGCACTGAATGATGAATTCTGATCAGGGAAGAAATTAATGCTCTTCTCTGACCCATTCAAATGTCAAACGTGAATATGTGATATTCAGGTGGGTTTTGGTGGACAATACTTGTATTTCACACTGAAAGCAAACAGCATGATAGTCCCGGAGCATCCCATTCTGGTCTGTGCCAGCCTGTCACTTCTACCATCTCTGTCAAAACAAATCTTTCAATTGTGGAGCCAGTTCTTGGTGTGTAATAGTCTAAAATGCTTGCATCCTAATAATCCTGTAAAGGTTATTTCAGTTCTATTTCTAAGCCACAGATGTAGTCACCAATTTTTTCACTAACTATAATGTGAAAAATTTTAATGCCTAAATGGAGATTTTAAATTGAAATCTTAAACAACTTAGGATAAAAACATGGCAGATCTTGTTTTATGGAACTTGCCCATTTTAGCAAGAGTTAGACACAAAATATTAGTATTAACCTTTTTTGTCCAGTTTTAGTTTATGATTTTATTATATGTTTTTTGTGCTTTAAGAAATGTTAAGTTAGTATATGAAGGCATTAATGTAGCTGTGTACTTAGTAGGGACTTATGTGCCATGGTTTTTCAAAGCTGGCCATGGTTAGACTCCCTGGGTTTTTTTGATGGAACAGCCAAGCAACCCCTCCATGGAGGATGAACATTTACTTCTCCCCACCGTCCCTCTGGTTGTTGTTTTCCCCTTTGCTTTTTGCATGAAAAAAATCCTAGTCCTGATGGATAATAAACAGTGCAGATGCCAGGTGAGCACCCTTACAGCAGCGAAGGGCTGTATTGCTGTATCAAGTATGTAACCATCAAGTTGAGGGAAATGGCAGTGCCTACCTGTTCATTGCTTGCAAGCCTGTGCAGGAGAGCCGTGTCCAGCTTGGGCTTCCTGTTAACACTGGTGTATTGAAACAAGCTGCCTGGAAGGGCTTTTGTGGAGGGGATTTGATGTGATGAAGGAGAAGCTGGGGGAATGGGCTTACTCAGTCTGAACAAAAGGGGGCTAAGGAGGGGAAGCCCCTCCTTCTGTCTGTGACTGTGTGATGGGGTGGGGAAGACACAGAAATACTTTCCACAGCTGCATAGTACTTTCACATCTTCCACTCTGAAAAGTCAATAAGGGAAATCCTGATAAGCTACTGGAAAAAAACCACTTTTGACATCAGGGATTTCAGACATTGGAACAGATTGTCCAGAAAGGTTGTGTCCACTCTATCCTGAGCGTGATTCAAAACTCAATGCGGCTCTAGGCAACCTGGTGTAGGTTGACTCTGGATAAGATCTCCAAGGTCCCCTTCAACCTGAATTATTGATTAGATTGTTGTTAGTCAGGTGAGAGCCCTTGTGATCTTCTGTTTATGACTGCAATGAAGGAGTTTTGCTTAGCTTTGGGTCCAGCTTGACTGTTAAAGGAGTGTGTGTATTTGTTACAAACGTACAGACATCCCACTGATTTGATTTTGTGCTGTGGTGTGGTATGTATTGGGATCTCCTTCCTCTTTTGTTCCGCTTGAGATTTAACACCTCTAATGGGTTCTTTTAAGGAGATGTAAGGTAAATCAAACTACTTTTGAGATAAGTAATACATGTCTGAGTGTGTCTGTATCTGGGGGGTCTAGTGACTGCTGCTCTTGTTTTACTGAGGTTAAGTTCTTAGCAGACAGTTGTGTTTCTCACCTGTTTTAGTAATGCATCTGGTTATTTCATTAACTGTAATAACTAGCAGGAGCATGCAAAATCAGCAGATGGTTAGACTTCTTCCTGGGTCAAACTTCTGGATTTGCACATGCGAAAATGCTTGTAACACTTTCTGTCTTTGACTTTCAATGTTCACAGCAATTGGAAGAAAAAAGTGAGGATGAAGAGGATAAAGAGTGCTTAAAGCAAGCAATAACTGCCCTACTAAATCTTCAAAGCAGTATGGAACGGATATGCTCTAAAAGCCTTGCAAAAAGAAGGCTTAGGTAAACGTTTCCGGTTTTCCTGCTTTCTGCTCTTAATGCTTTGCTATAAATCCAGGGCTCCCAGTTTCCTCTTTTAGTAAACAATGAACAAAATAGTTTGTGACAAGCCTGCTTTTTCAGAGGAAGTGACATCAATGCCAAGATAATTTGTTATTGTTTTAAAATAGTTCTAATTTCTATGTGTTCTTGCAAACTGGTAGTTGAGACATTTTGGGAATTCACTGGTAAGTAGAAAGTTATGGCATTTTTCAGTTAATTATGCTCAAATAATATCTGCTTAAAAATATTGTAAAATTAGCTTTCTATGGAATTAAAAGGAAATGTTCTTGAATTTGAAACTACTGAAGTGGTTTTTTTGTGTCATGGCTAGTTAAAATTACTGCTGGATGATGGAAATAGATGCATAGCCCACTAGTACTTAGTTGTGCTGTTGTAGCAAATTCTTGGATTATGCTATGTGCTGATTTGGGTAGTGCTAGTATTTGTGTAATTATGTAGACATGTTAAAACTTTGCTTTTGCTCCTAAAATTGTTTCAATATTTTCCTTGCCAGACAAGTTTTGTACTGCAAAGGGTAATCTTTAGGCTTGGACATGAATTCATTTAACAGTTTATTTTTTATGAATGTGCTTTTTTCAAATTAATGCAATCTAAAATTGTTTTGTTGGTTATGGAAGTGAATGGTTTGTTAGGCTAAGAAGTACTAATGGCTTTCCTGCTGCTGGTTGTCTTGTGTTTCGTTAAAACATTTATTGCTGAAGATAATTAGAAAATTTATCAGATGAGATACTTAAGAGAAACGTTAGACAAGACTTACAATGGTACTGCTATTAAGTGCTGAGGGTGCATTCTCAGTGGAATTCTGGTATTTTTGCTGTTAGTGGTTGTTGTGGTTTTTAAATACGTGTATACTAACTGACTCCCTTTCTTTCTCCTGTCATTCTCTGAAGTGAATCTGCATGCCGGTTCTATACTCAGCAGATGAAGGGGAAACAGCTAGCAATTAAGAAAATGAATGAAATCCAGAAAAATATTGATGGTTGGGAGGGTAAGGACATTGGACAATGCTGTAACGAGTTCATCATGGAAGGAACACTCACACGTGTGGGAGCAAAGCACGAGAGACACATATTTCTATTTGACGGCTTGATGATTTGCTGTAAGTCAAATCATGGCCAGCCAAGACTTCCTGGTGCTAGCAATGCAGAATATCGACTAAAGGAAAAGTTCTTCATGCGAAAGGTACAAATCAATGATAAAGATGACACTAATGAGTACAGACACGCTTTTGAAATCATCTTAAAGGATGAGAACAGTGTTATTTTTGCTGCTAAATCAGCTGAAGAGAAAAACAACTGGATGGCAGCATTGATATCTTTGCAATATAGAAGCACGCTGGAAAGGATGTTGGATGTCACAATGTTGCAGGAAGAAAAAGAGGAGCAGATGAGATTTCCAAATCCTGAGCTTTATAGATTTGCAGAACCTGACTCTGAAGAGAATATTGTATTTGAAGAAAACATGCAACCCAAATCTGGAATCCCCATCATTAAGGCAGGAACTGTTGTCAAGCTCATTGAGAGGCTGACTTACCATATGTATGCAGGTGAGGCATTTGGTTTATATAGCCAAAACTCAAAGTGGTGACTAGTTTATGCTTCTCTTTCTGTGTTAAATACATGCAGCAAAATACATTAAGTGAGTAGAAAGCAAATGTGCTTTGCAGTGCACATATTCTAACATGCTTCTTGAGTTAAAAGTTTTAGATCTAAATATGCACTGCTGTAGCTATTGACAATATGAATCCTGTTTGGCGGAATGTAGTAGGATATGCATGTGCATAAGGTTGTTTTAATGCAAGAGATGGGGCCCTGCAGGGATTGAGCTCTAGACAATACTTACTCATTTATACTCCAGACTATAAGAATTGCCTTCCCTTGAGGCTTCCAGAGCTGGTTAGCACACGAAGGGCCAGTGTTGGGGGAGAGAATTATGGGCCCAGTGTTTTCGGTTTAGGGTTGTACTCTGTCAAGTATTACTTGTGTCCGTGCTGGCATGTAATGAAAAGACCAATATCAGCATGATAGAAGCAGTCACTTGCAGAATATGGCTACAGAGCTTTGCCTTAATCAGAACCTCAGTGAGGATTTGATTTAAGGACTTTTGAATTAGGGTTTCTGCTTGTGTTGAAGATATTTTGAAGATATATATGTGATCATTCAGGCTAACCTCAGAGTGTGGATTTTTTTCTTGATAACATTCCAGGATTTTCATAAGCTGTGCTACAAAGCATGGACTTGAGTTTGGGGTTTGGATGTGTTCTGTTATTTTTCTGATTCTATCTGTATGCCAGTTATTCTAAAACTTGATGCATCTTGGTATTAGTGCTTCTCATATGCAACAGTTTCTTTTTTTTTTTTCCTTTCTTTTTGCACTCTGATTGTCATGGATTGTTTTGCTGCATCTCAATCCTAGATACCCTGCACAGACCAGGAATATTTGTTTGGAAGAACTGAGGAGGAAGCAGAGTATAATTTGTGTAGTTTAATGCTCTGTTTACTTTTCTAAAAACTTGTAATTACATCTCTTTACTCCATTACTTTTACTGCTCTTCTTCTAATTTCCTTGAGTTTTCCCAACATTTACAAGAAAGCCAAATGCAGTATTGTGCTGAAAGTTTTTACCAGAGCAGTTTGGTGTCTTTCTTAATTTTCTTGTAAATTTATAAACTTCTAGCTCTTGGCTTTGAATTTTACAGGCATGATTTGTGACATAATTTTATGATTTTGGAATTAAAGAAACAGTTCAGCCTTGGAAAAAGGAAGATGCTTTTTCAAAATAGTCTTTAAAGCTATCATTTTCTTTGTCAAAGAATTAGCAAAAATAGTACTTTGTTAGTGTTTCTGTGAACATTTGTTTAGCTTTCGCTAACTTGTGCACCATTGAGAATTGCCTTTTTCAGACATGCTGTAACTTGGGTGCTATAGCCTTGGCATTGCTCCAGGTGCTAGCAGTGCTCTTCAGGTGTTGTATCTGTCCAGGGAGGCACAAACTACATTCTCCAGTTCCATAAAACAGAAAGGCCTATTTTGTTCAGTATTTGGCTTGTTGAAATATGTCTCTTGGGTTTTTGCCATCTGCAACTTTTTATTTGGCCTTTCTAGTGCACGAGACATCAAGGAAGAATTCAGATCAATTGATTAGATATACTTTGTCCACAGTCATTTAAATCCGTGCTTGTAACTGTGCTTGTTTAATAAAGCTTTGAGTAGGTTGCTTGAAGCCTAGCGTTGTGGGTATAGGTGGCATTGACCAAACTATTGTATGAGAAAACAGAACATGGGCACTGTGAGATAGGCTGAAAGACTTTGGCCAAAAGGAAAAAAATGGTTGTCTTGTGACTGTCTATCTGGCCTTAAAGATCTTAGTGCAACATACATGGACCTGATGCTAGATTGCACATCATTTCTCAACACCTGTATCTTCTGTGCCTTCTGTTTTATAACGTTGTCCTTGAGGAAAACCACCATTGTTCTAACCATTCTGATCAGTGTTTTCCATGGGAACAAAGAAACAGAGATACAGTGACTTGGCCAAAGTTGCTCTGTTGTACAGGAAACCTGGTCCATTTATGATGTAAATCATAGAGTGTTTTGTTGCATCTTGTGAGATGCAGTGAGTAGGATGACAACTTTGCATAGTAACACTTCAGCTCTCTCATACATGTATCAGCTGAGTTCAAGACTGCTTGTCTGCTTGAAGATGTGGGAAAATGACTACCCTGGTGATATGTAGCCAAACAACTACAGACTGTAGAAATGCTTTTCTTGCCCCACATAGGGTTGCCTATGTGTGGTGGTAGTCTTAAAAGAATTTAAGGACTTTATATTCATACGCCAGAATAGCAGGCCCATACTTTTCTGAGTCACCTTTTTTCAGATATGGTGTGACTAGTCATGGTAGCCCTTGATCTGACAGTCTAAAGACAGTATTTACTGTAGCTGTGACTTTTCTCTAGGTTTAATCTTTGTAGGTCAAACGGTATAATTACAGATAGAGTTGCAGAGGTGGTATGAATTTGTTGCAGGTAGTTGAAGAGCAGTGTAGTTAGCTGCATATCGAGAAGAGCATGGGCTGTGGTCAGACAGCAGTTTGAAGCAAGTCTCAAATTTCTGTTGTCTGTGAAGATCCACACAATCAGTCTTATTTATAGATGTGGGTGTTGGACCTTATATTTTTCTTCCCTCACCCCCTGACAATTCACAAACCATTTTATTAGCTGCAATATGTCTCTGTTTTGCCGTGGAACAGGGGCAACTAAGGAAGCAGTGCTGCTGGGGGTGGGAGGCATTCAACCACTGTGGGAGTTCAGATGGGGCAGCCCCGGTGGCCACCTGGCCACAAGGTGTGGCAGACTCCAAACTGTCCTGTGGTGGAGCAGCAAAATAGGGAGAAACCTCCTCTGCAGAAGCAGCTTTCCATATATTTTTTACAAAAGAAGCTGGCCTTTAATTAAAAATTCATATTCTAACCCTAAATCTGATGGATTTTACTTGTTTTAATGTTTCTGCATTCCTTATCTCCTCTTCCCTTTTTTAAGAGCAGCTGGGTTAGGTGGTACAAAGGTTTTAAAGTTGTGGCAATTTTTTTTGTATCTATAGGGCAGTGCTCTTCTATTTTTAAAGCTTTGATATGTTAAGAGTGCTTGTGCGTCATCATAGTGTCCGTTTCCTTTCTTAAGGAATTCAAGGGTGATTATTTATAAATCCTTGTAGAACAAGTTATTGTTCTTTTTTAGCTTTAAAATTGGCTGTATTGAAGAGAGAATGATCACATGAGCAGACATCCTGGCTAACTGGTGTTGTCTGTATTTTTTTTTTAACACTTGCTCATATATTGTACATTATTTTGAGTGGACTTTGCTAGTAAGATAACAAAGTTAGATTTGATTTTCTGATCTGCTTCATTTCAAATTCAATATGTATTGTGGATTTAAATGCTGAGCCTACCCGTAAATAACAATAGCTATGACTCAGAGATTGCAGTGATCTGAAAATGTTACTTGCTATGGAGGCTTTCTTTTTCAGGTAGACAAAATCTATTTAGGGTGTGTACAGAATAGAAGCTGTGAAAGCATGGGTTACTATGCTTGCTTCTTTAGCACAGTAAAAATTGTGTGTTTACATGACAAGGATGATGGGGGCATTCTTTGTGCAAAAGGTATTGGAGTTTTGTCTTTGAAAGTAGTTTTGGACTGTACAGTTTCAAGGGATGGTGAGAGAGGGGTTATGGTAAGAAAAATGGAGTAATGAAGGTCATGAGTAAAGCAGAATAACCAATTGTTTAAGAACTGAGAATTACCCTGCCACAGAAATGCAAGGAAATGCCATAATACACAGGTAATCTGTGCGACACATCACAGTAAGCTGTGGCTCAAATGAATATCTTAGTAAGATCTAAGAAAGGCAGAATATTAATTCAAATGGGCAAGAATGCTGGTAAATAGTTAAGGAGAATTTTAAAGCAACTTTCAAAAATCCATATTCAGTAAACAATGTCTAATACAGCATTAGGTCAAATAATGCAGACTTTTTTTCCTATATTATGGCTTATAGGAACTCCTTCTTCATGTCCTGTGTGCTCCTCTTCAGCCACTCTGTGTTAGAACAATTACCAATTGGGGTTTGTTTTTAAAATCTGAATATGGGTTTAATACGCAAATCCATTGCAATCCACTCATTAATTTTGTTCTGTGATAACAGTGTTAACCTTGTTTCTGGTCAGCTCTGTGCAGTGCCAGTGTGCATTTCCTCACACTTGAAAACAAATGGGTTTGCTTTTGTAATTAAGGGAGACACTTGGGTTTTCTGTTTCGAATACTTGCTTGTTTTTAAAACACATTTTCATATTTTAAATGAATTGATGTGTAATTAGTCAATTTAAATTATATTGGTTGATTTTTTTGAAGTGAAATAAATATAACCTCTGTGAACTAGCAGAAAAAATATCTAGGCTGCCTTAACCATGATTGGTTATCAGTTGTGGCAGTTTAGGGAAAGCATTTTCCCCTGGAAGAGACCAGTTCTGCCTATTGCAAAGTTACTTGCTGTATCTTTTGAGTTATCTTGTCTTATTCATTGTCAAAACCAATGTTGTTTACTAGTTGGCTCATAAATAAGATTGTTTATTTATTATTTTCAAAGTTGTTGAAAAAGAATCCTGTCTTTTAATAATTGGAGGGGAGGCGGAAAAAGTTATCATTGTGAACTTTCAATAGAATGAATTTTTTTTAAAAATCCTGCTTTGAATTGCTGTCTTAATATGTTCTGAATTGTTGCCAAAGCCATTTTGATTTACGTCATCTTCTCTATAAATTTGATAGGGCAACATCCTTAATTTTAAAGGATAATTAAAGTGATTTTAAAGGATAAAAACATCAGATAATTGCTGACATAGGTGTAAAATTATTCTTTGTCTTAGATCCCAACTTTGTTCGGACTTTTCTCACAACATATAGATCCTTCTGTAGACCTCAAGAGTTGCTGAGTCTGCTAATAGAAAGGTATGCCACTGTTAAAAATATTGTTCTTATGAAGTGCAAATTTATTTATTTTTAAATTTTACTTGAAGTTTGTAAGATTCTGGCTTTTCAGTTGGTTTTGATTCACTTCAAAGCCTTTTTAAAAGTTGTCAAATTCAGAGATTGTCAGTGCAATGTGCAAATATTTATCCAGAAGCTTTAGTATTGTTTAGATAGCTCTAATAACTTCCAGATCCCATGGCTTTGTCTTTGAAATCTGTATTGATACTGAATTTAGCCAATTCTCCTATGTACTTTCCATATGTAAGATTCTGACGTGAAAATGTTTTGAATTTCAAGTTGTCTTTAACCACCAGTTTAGTCATGCATGCGGTGACCAAGATTAGTCTAATAGGAGCCTAGTGCTTATATCCATCTTCTGTGCTAGGTTTGAAATTCCGGAGCCTGAGCCAACAGAAGCTGACCGTATTGCTATGGAGAATGGAGACCAGCCTCTTAGTGCGGAGTTAAAAAGGTTTAGGAAAGAGTACATTCAGCCTGTGCAGCTAAGGTGAGTATTGCGTCAGTGTGAGCCGAACTGACTTTTACGTTGTGTGATACCAGCAGTCTTTCTTGTAGATGCTTTGATAGGGAAGACAGACTGTATTGTATAGTGCTTATTTGTCCTTTGCTTTTGCAGAGTATTAAATGTATGTCGCCACTGGGTAGAACACCACTTCTATGACTTTGAAAGAGATGCTGATCTTCTGAAACGTTTGGAGGAATTCATTGGAACAGTAAGAGGTACTTACAGTTTAAGTGCTGGCATTTTTCATAAAGCATCCCTTTTCAGAGGCATGGAATGAGATCACTTTTCCTTTCACTGAGCTGATCAAGAAAAACATGAATGACTGCTTGTTAAATATCCATAAAGGGCATACAATGAACTTTCATGAACACCCCCCCAAACTATTATTCAAAATCTGCCCCCTGTTCAGAATAATGATTGTTATTTACATAAATAAGTATTGGTTTTGTTGTAAAGGGACTGAAATAATGCAAAATAATACAAACTGTGTAATGATCAGGACAGAATGATTGCTTTGATTGTCATCTTTGACCTTACACAGGGGTAATTTTTGTAAAAGTTTCATGGTGGAAACCACTATTTCTTTGAAACAAGGGTTTTCCACCTATTTCACAGTGCATATTAGAACTACAGGACACCTTGCAGTTGTGATTGTACAGATTTTTCCTGTTTCCTTTTAAAGAAAACCAGGGCAGCTACAGGAGCAGTTTGTAAGAAAATATTATGTCAGAGAAGTATTTAATGGTTATTTAGCAATTAAAAAGAGGGGAGAATGAGCCAGCTAGTTTAATATGGGTTACTGGTAAATTTTTAGTGGACTAGTACATGAAATTCTTATGCTGTAGAGTTAAAAAGGCATTTGGCTTTTCGATTGTATTCTGAGCTTTGATGGTAAATACAGTACGGGGAGAAGCTTCTCCCTATTTTTTATTTTGACTTCCTGTTATATGAGGTAAATATGTACTCTTGCTCCAGATCTAAAGTTTGGGGTGTTCGCAGAAGTGCATTTTGGACAAAAGAAGATTAGTTCCCATAAACTCATTCTAAACTCAGAAAAGAAAGGAAAGCACCTGTATCAGAGCAGGAGCCCAGTTTGGGTATTCTAATTTGTGCTTTGGCAAACTCGTGCTCAGTGTCAGCTGTTGAGGTATTCTTTATATGTTTGAATGCTTTTAGACTTGCTTGAGAACACTATTTCTAAAGAATATATAGTTGCTTTAATTTAGCCGGTATTAGGCTTCAGTAGAAAGATTTTTTAATTATACTGACCTCTTAGGAAAAACAGTGTTAAGAGTAACTAAATAGTAATTTTCTGTGTGCCAGGAAAAGCAATGAAGAAATGGGTGGAATCCATCACAAAGATAATCAACCGGAAAAAGCAGGCCCAAGCCATTGGGCCGAGTCACAACATCACTTTTGAGAGTCCACCTCCAGCCATTGAGTGGCACATAAGCAAACCAGGACACACAGAGACTTTTGATTTGCTCACTTTGCATCCCATAGAAATTGCTCGGCAGCTCACTTTACTTGAGTCAGATTTTTACAGGTAACTTAATTGAAAAACACATGATACAAATGAAATATTCTGCAGTGGGAAATTGTTTCTGTGGGCCCCTGATGCAAAGCCCCATGGTAGGTCGAGGGAGTTTATCAATGCTATATATTAATTACTATTTTTGCAGAAAACCCCTCTAAAATACGGTATTTGTTTTATCCTCCCCAAGTTAATGTGCAGTACATGTGACTGTTGCATACTGTTAATTGCACTGTGCCCCAGCTTTCTCTTGATATTTTCTGAGTAAATAACCTTTGAGAAGTGTGAACTATTATTAAATCAGTTTTCTTCATGTCCTAGTTTGTGAAGCAAATTATTGGACTGTGTCACAGCTCTGTGAGATTTTGCTCAGGCATTGGAAGCTCTCATTTTGTTATGGTGAATGAGATAGAGGCTTCATTCTTTGTTTAGATGAACAGAGGTGTTTGAGTCACATAGATGAAGAAATATTTGCAGTGTGAAAAAGAAGCATAGAAATATCAGTCAGTCATGAGGTGAGCCTAACATTATAGAAAAGAAGTGATACATTAGGAATTTTTTTCAAATATGACTTCCAAATTCAGTGAAAATAAAGAGGGTTTGGGAAAACAGTATCTTCTTTTCCTGCTTTTAATTACATGTTTTGGTAATGCATCTACTTTTCTAGAGCTGTGCAGCCATCTGAACTAGTAGGAAGTGTGTGGACAAAAGAAGATAAAGAAATTAATTCTCCCAACCTTCTCAAAATGATAAGGCATACAACTAACCTCACTTTGTGGTTTGAAAAGTAAGTGACTTTCCGGAATCTGCACCTGCTCCATATCTGGACATTTACAGTCCATTCAGAAGTATACTGTGAAAAATTCTGTTCGAGGAGAATTCCTGTTTTGAGTTGTGTTTAAGTGCTAAAACTAGTCCCTGTGAGAATTTTACCGTTATGGTCTCAGCTTTTTATTCTTAGAATATTTTCAAATCTCTAAATATTTTCAGAACTGTCAAGTAATTTGGTAAGCTTCTCTTATTTGTTTGTGTTGCAACTTGCTATTTGATTTTGGAAAACTCATCAATGCTTTAACACAAAATCAAATGTTCTTGTGTATTTAGATGCATTGTAGAAACAGAAAACCTAGAGGAAAGAGTAATTGTAGTGAGCCGGATAATTGAGATCCTGCAAGTTTTCCAAGAGCTAAACAACTTTAATGGTGTCCTTGAGATCGTCAGTGCTATGAACTCTGCAGCAGTGTATAGGTTGGATCACACATTTGAGGTACAGTGAAATGTTTTCTATTTTGGGTATGGAAGTGTAATGCAGTGTACCTTGGCTACTCTAAAATTCTGTCTTTTCAGTAGCCATGTACTTCAAAGGAGGAGCAAGGAAGGTAAATCTCTTAAGAAATTAATCAGTTGGGGTGGAATAGGGAAAGGGTTTTTTCCTTGGTTTCAGAAGCAAGAAATCAATCGTCACTTGAGAAGGGCATCTCAGGGTGGTGGGGCATTGTCCTCATGGACAGTGATTTAAATATCTGTGAGAGACCATTGCTCAGTATTGTTGCTGGGCTACACCTTTATCCCGTTTTTCCAACCAACCTGTTTAATCTCTCTTTTAAGCAAATTCCAAGTCGCCAGAAGAAGATTTTAGAAGAAGCTTATGAGTTGAGTGAGGATCATTATAAGAAATACTTGGCAAAACTCAGGTCTATTAATCCTCCTTGTGTGCCTTTTTTTGGTAAGTACATTTGGTTTGGATGAGCTGTATCATACATAAATGTTGGGAAAGTATTGAGCTAAGGTATTAAACAGAGTATGAGCAATAGTGAGAAGTCAATTTTAACAGGACAGGTGGGTTGAAATTTCAGATGCACAGACATTAATTGCATATATGCAAAAGAAAAATTAAAGTGACTATTAATTGCAGATGTTATTTGCAGTAAAAATGTGTATCTGCAATATCTTACTTACATATTTACTTTTACTTTGAATGTGGTTTGAATTGTTGTGACCAGAAAAGCCTTCAACAGGAGGTCGTATTAGAAATATCACCACTGACTCGTAGAGAAAGAAGAATCCCCTTCCCCAGCCAGAGTTCCAGGAAACAAAGCTAGAGTCTCATTTCTATTAAAAAGTCTTGTTTCTGTAAAAACAGAGTTTGGGGAGAAAGTTTCCTCTTCATCATCAGACTTAATAGTTCTTCTTTGAATTAAACTGCTGACATTTAGCAGGTTGTAATATTAAGCACATGGCATTCCTATATTTGAGCAAACTACTTAAATGTTTGCAGCAGATCAGTTCTGACTCTGAACATCGCCCTTGTCCAACATTGGCATCAGGCCAAAAGTGATAGAAAAGAGTGTTGATGGCTTTTTTGGCATTTTACAGATTGGGGAAAGATATGCTCTGGAGTTCTGCAAATAAAGATAAGATAACTAAGAAACCTTCTGTCCTGCCTCACATAAGAGTAGAGGCAGGATCACATGTGAATAGCTTCAGTTCTTGCTGTCAAGTTATACTTAGAATAATCATAATGACAACTCCAGATATATTATCTGTGGACTTGAGAGCACTTTCTTCATTCTAGTCTTCAAACTAATTGATGCAATTATGAAGCCAGGAATGGAGAGTGGAACAGAAGAAATAATTTTTTAGAGCTTTGCTCGGGTGTGTCTAGTAGAGTACAGCAGTGAAGAGAAAGCACTTGTGTTCAGTATACTCTTGTTGTGCAAAACGCTAGTAGCGTTCAGTTGGGTAGAGCTTCCTAAACAGTAGAAAGATGCATAGACTTTGAAATTTTGATGCAAAAAAGGCAGCTTTCTGGATAAGGCATGTTGGAATATTTAAATTGTTGCCCTTATTTAAAAATTAGGTGTGATTCTCTCATTGACCCTCCCCCCCAAAAAAGAGAAGTTTTTTTAAATAATTAGAGTGCGCAAATTAAGTTCCTTAAGAATTCTCTGCGTTCCAGTCTTGACTTCCTCCTTGCTTTGTCTATGTGTTGAAAACCTCTTCTCTGTGCTCCTTAGGGATTTACTTAACTAACATTTTGAAAACAGAAGAAGGCAATCCTGAATTTCTAAAGCGACATGGAAAAGAACTTATAAACTTCAGCAAGAGAAGAAAGGTAGCTGAAATAACAGGAGAGATACAGCAGTACCAGAACCAGCCATATTGTTTAAGAGTGGAATTTGACATCAGGGTAAGTGGCATGATTTCCTTGAGTCCATGCACTGAACTGCTTTTGTGGTGACTCTGTCAACTGACAGACCATAAGGATAGACTGAATTCATAGAATCATAGAATTTTAGGGGTGGGAGTGGACCTTACAGATCACCTAGTCCCAACCCCCTCTGCCATGGGCAGAGACACCTCCTCACTAGACCAGGTTGCTCAAGGTATCATCCAACCTGGCTTTGATCACTGCCAGGGTAGGGGCAGCCACCACTTCCCCAGGCAGCCTGTTCCAGTGTCTCACCACCCTCACAGTAAAGTACTTTTTTCTAATATCTAACCTAAAGCTCCTCTCCTTAATTGTCCTATCACTGCAGTTCACGTAAGTTTGATCTGACTGAATCAGAGATGAGCAGAAGGTCTGCCAAACCTCTCTCAGGTCTCAGTGTAAGAAAGGGCATGAAGCTCAATGCTTGCAGTTTGGTGGGGTTTGTTTCGTATTTTTCCTCAGCTGTTGGGACATTGGTGGATCTTCTCACTGATCAATGTTAAGCAGGAACAGAAACTAACAGATTCTCACTGTCCTTCACTCAGTTGCAAATATTTGTCCAGTGAGTCTGGATGTCTTTTCCTCCTCTGTTACATTGCCTTTATGTTTCTAGGTTTACCTGATAGCACTGTTTACATCATGTGTTGATGGTGGTGATACTCATATTATTCTTTCTCCTGGTGTTTGTTCTCCTTGGTCTGTGGTGTTCTCTAAGCAGTGTCCTCTCTGTTAGTTTGCTTCCCTTTTTTCCTTTTTATTTTTTTCCTTTTGTTTTTTTGGAGAGCAGTCTTCCCTGCGTCAGCGTAAAGATGGACTACGTACAGCTTCCTCCGAAGGTGTTTGAGCTAACCTGGTCTGATTTTGCAGTGCAGAAAATATTTAGGATACTTGCACAGTTGGTTCTCAGGCCAAATATAGCAGTAGCAATGCCCACCAAAGGGCTGGCAACAAACAGATTTAATAACTTTGAAGTCTGTCGTTACTTCTGACTTCAGCATTTCCTTTCACCTCTGGAACAGTTGGGATCATTTGTGCAGTAGAAACAAACAGTACTAAGAAGTACCTTATCTGACAAGTTTTCTACCTTCTTGTATTTCAGAGATTTTTTGAAAACCTGAATCCTATGGGAAGCAGTGTGGAGACAGAATTTACAGATTATCTGTTCAACAAGTCACTAGAGATAGAGCCACGAAATGTCAAGCCCCCACCAAGATTTGTTAGTATTCATTTTTTAAAAATATTTATTTATTTGTTTCTCCAAAAGTGCTTGCATTTGTCTTCCCTAGATAGCAGAAGTCATTTCAGATCTCTGACTTCATAAATACAAAGCTACATGCAGGTGCTCTTGTGGCCTTTTGATTTTGTTTGTTATTATCTTTTTTATTGTTTCAGCCCAAAAAATACAGCTATCCCCTCAAGTCCCCAGGTGTTCGCCCTTCTAATCCAAGGCCAGGTACCATGAGACATCCTACACCCCTGCAACAGGAGCCAAGGAAAATCAGTTACAGCCGCATCCCAGAGAGCGAGACTGAAGCTACAGCATCTGCACCAAACTCTCCCCGAACACCTCTGACCCCTCCCCCTGCATCTGCGACTTCAAGTACCACAGATGCCTGCAGTGTGTTTGATTCTGATCCTTCCAGCCCTTTTCATACAAGTAGGTGCTAATAGACACTCTACCAAGAGCGTGCCCGTTACATTTTGTGGTGTTAGACAGATGAAGTCATGTTTAGACTTCTAAGGTGTCCTTAGAAATAGTTGCTTTTGTCTCCTTGCAGCAGCAAAAACATTTTAGCCTGTTTTATTCCTTTTTCTTTAGTAAATTTTTATTAAAATGCAAGAAACTGAACAGAATTAGGTGTGTTACACAGAGACTATTGCAAGTCTTCAAAGGAACTGTCAAAACAGAAGACAGAGGTATATCTCCAGTGCCCAAATATGTCTCAAACTTGTGTGGCTTGCTGCCATATATATTAGTGGTGAATGTATTCTGTGAGTGTCTGATGGTGAACAATGAAAATAAAAATTAATGATTTGTGGGTGCCTTATTTTGCTGTCTGCCATTCCAAATTGGTTTCAGTATGCATGGTTGGTTTTTCTGCAGAACTTAGTCAGTATTTCCTTGCTTCAATGCATCAGGACCTGTCCATGCCTGGTTTTCTTCTGTCTTCACCAACTTACAAGGAAGCTTATATTTTATGGTGTGTTCTCAGTAATTAGTAGTGGATGTAGCCTCCTTTCATGTATGAGGGCTTTCAAAGGAATTGCAAGGCTAGTCCTGTGTTCAGCTGGATGCCACAAGGAGGTGAAATGACTTGCTAAAAGCAGAAGTTGCTTGGCAGAACCGTGGCATTGCTGAGTGTCCAAACCAGGTCTTTGGAATAGCTCTTCAGAAGAAGATATTTCTTCGCCATTGGGTTGGCCCATTGGCTTCAGGTTCAGGATATTGTTTTAGTGCTGTTGTGATATAAGAAGTTGTTTGTGGTATGGTTTTGATCTCAAGGATTACTTAAGAATTGTGCAGGAATTGATGGCCACAGATGTTTGCAGCTCAGAAGAGCAGTTTGTCTGGAAGCTGCAAGCTAGAGGCTTGTTTCGTTGTCTTTATTTAACACCGTCTTGATTCATGATTCTTTTTATGAGAAATTGCTTTATTATTTATCATTACTTCATTGGCAGCAATAAAGGAAATATATTGGGGTCACACAAAAGTCCATCATTATCAGGAATTTATTTTTTTTTAATGTCCACTAGGATCTGCTTCTGTGTCATCCATGAACTTTACCAAAAATTCAGATGACACTCCTGTCCCTCCTCCAGTTCCTCCACGAAGAAGACCGGAATCTGCCCCAGCTGAATCCTCCCCATCAAAAGTAAGTAAGGAGAAAAAAGATAATTTGTTTTTCTGGGAACAGAGGGCAGGGTATGCTAGAAAAGTAACTCTTAAAGACTTCTGAAGAACTGTATGTGAAAGAGTAAGCAGCCATGTATTTCAAGCCTTCACAGCTCTGCCTCATTATGTCTTGATCCCAAACAAATGAAAACAGATGGGACCAAAATTTAGGGTTAGAAATGTCTTATCTACTGATGTGCTATGCTCAGGCCCTTATATTGCCTCTGAAAACTTGAGGCTTCAGGCAGATGTTTCCATCTGCAGTTATTGTTTCAGAGTATCATTTTAGGATATGTGACTACGGTAAAGATCTGAAGAAGAGTAATGATGCAAAGTGATGTACACAACTCAATCCTCTGAAAATTTTCATCAGAATATTTGATCAGATGCTGTGGTGCACAGTCCTTGCTTTCCCTTCTTGTTTACCCATCCTGTCTGCCTGCCTGCTTAAGTCATTGCTCCATTTTCCTTTTGCATTTGTCTGGCAACTGGCATATGATCCAGCCTTTGTGGCAGACAGTGTCTTATTTTTCCTGCTTTCAGTGGGAGCTAGTTTGTGACATCAGAGAATTGACTGGATTTGAAAATCCCGCTCAAAATTTCTTCGGAGTACATATGTCTCTTTGAAGGGGGCATGTATATGGCTCTTCAGCAAGTTGTTGTTTTCACACTGCAGGTGACTGTGGTGTCAGTTAGCAGCACGTTCCTACCAAAATGTAATTGAAAACATCGTATGCATGATAGAGTGTTGGAGACCAAGTACCTCGTCACTGTGGTCTGCAGCTTGGGACCTGTTCACTTCCATAATGCTGACTCCTTGATTCCATCTTCTGAGCATAGCTTATTTTTTAACCTGTTCAGCATCATCTGCCTCTCCCTTTTCATTGTTTTCTTGAAGAAATATATGGTGTGTTTACCCACCCCAAGTGCTTGTTATTGGGGAGGTGGTGGAAGATACCCAGTCTTCCCCAGCAAGCAGACCTGGAGCTAGTATGGAAATTGTTGCTTTGAACATTCTTTGCTTTGCCTTTGTCCTTCACTGTGTATCTTCATTCCTTCCATCCTTGGCTGTTAACTCACGCATTGATGCACCCCTACTCTCCCTACACATACAGTCTCTGTCTTGATCACTCTGAGAAACGTATTTTCAAGCACCACCACTCCCTTTTGCTTGCTTACATGCTGCACCTCCATGCCGTGCCTCCTCTTTAACCAGGTAAGAGCAACCTACAGTGCAGGAGAGCTGCTTGCTTGCATTTTACAGCAGAGTCCTGTTCTTTGCTGCCTCTCTAGAATTTTACTGAATGAAATGTTTGTGTACCTCAGATTACTTCTGCACACCTGGACAACCCACCAGCAATCCCTCCTAGGCAACCAACTTCTAAAGTGTATTCACCAAGGTACTCAGTGCCTGATCGGACCTGTATCTCTGACTCGTGTGTTACCACTGCAAGCCCTCCTGAGTTACCACCACGAGAACCTGTGCGAACTCCAGATGTTTTCTCTAGCTCACCACTACACCTTCAGCCTCCACCGTTGGGGAGAAAAAGTGAACTCGGTAACACCTTTTTCCCAAACAGTCCATCTCCATTTACTCCCCCTCCCCCTCAGACACCTTCTCCACATGTAGCACGGAGGCATCTTCCGTCACCACCTTTGATACCACAAGATGTGGACCTCCCTTCTGTTGCTGGACCACCTGTTCCTCCACGACAAAGCACTTCTCAACATATCCCAAAGCTTCCTCCAAAAACTTACAAAAGGGAGCACACACACCCTTCAATGCATCGGGACGGACCACCATTGTTGGAGAATGCCCACTCATCCTGAACTATCCTGTGCGCTGGGAGTCGCATTTTCCTGGTGCTATGTCTGTTGCTGGCAATGGATGCACTGAACCTGGTGGTGTCAAGGAGTTGGGATGTATATGCCAAACACTAAAAACTCTCCAATACATTGGAATGTAGTGTACAGAAATGGAATTGCAAAAACAGACTTTCTAGTGGAAAACCCGGTTAACTTGCTATTCTTGGTTTAGTATGCAGGACATTGTTCTAAAGTAATTGGACAACTGATTGTACCAGAAAACAGACTTGAGAGACTTCTTTGGCCAATCAGCAGAGACTGTGTTTATGTAGTGATCAATAGTGTCCAGTACAGGAAGGAAAACAGTCTTGTATCCATCAGTTCCATACAGTGGCACAGTTTTTGGAATTAAAATATTATGCACTTTTTTAAAATATCAAACAGGGAACTTTATATCCTTCTTAATTTTCCTTTGCTTTACTTACTCCCTGCTTTAAAATACCTTCCTAAAGTTATGAGAAGGACTGTGAGGAAGATCTGTGGTACCTAACTGAGATAGAATTAAGGCAAAGCACTGTATTGCGGTCCTGTTTACAAGTTGTTACAATGAGTAGTAGGGGGTACCTAGGCTTCACCAAAGAGGTACTTTATTATTATTTTCTGAAATACTGTGGTGCCAGTTCAAAAATAAATTTTTGCCGGGAAGCATAATGTCTAATTATTGCTTTCTTTAGATAGAGCAGATGGAAGTCTTACATCGTTAAGATGACAGCAAATTTTTTTTAAAAAAAAGCAGCACTATCACCTGAAGCAAATATACTACTACATTTAGAAGACTGTTAATCTCTGCTAGGTCATGTTCTTTTTAAGGTTTACTGATAATCCATTTCATGGCTAGTAGCTATTATCTTTCAGTCCTGCCATGAAAACAGTCACTTATGAAAAGAAGCACTCACTTGTCAACTTCCATAGCTATTGTCATGTTTTACTAACAATAGAGTAATCAGCATACATAAAATTGCCTTGCAGTTGCATAAATCATGTGTATATAGTGAATGTTGCCTAAATATACTTGCAGATTGTTTTTAATTTAATTGAAATAAAGATAAATATATGTTTGGCTGACATACGTTAAATTATTACATGGACAAATATACAGCTCAGTTTTTTAGTTAAACACTGAAGAGGATAAAAGCCCATGTCGTGGGACATATTTTTTCTATTTCAATGTATGTATTTTAGTAATAAGAGTCTAAAGAGAAGTTGGCTTTGGCATGTGTTGCAAAATAATAATTTAGTAGTATATGAGAAGTTGGGTAACTCCCAAAGTGCTTATATATATAGCTTATAAAATGTCTCACACCTTCTGTATGACACTTGCTAGAAAAAAGTCAGACTTATATTAAACTTTGCAGTAGCTTTCTCTGTCCAAAATGCACATGATAGAACATGTATGTTCTAAGTATTATGACATGGATTATCCATAAACCTTTGTGCTGCTCTACAGCTCCAGACAGTGCTGACAGTAATGCGTGGCTGTTACTGAAGAAACGAAGCTCTATAATCTCCTCAACAGTAGGTATGTGAAGCATAACATATCTCATCTTCAGTTTATGTGGCTCATGGAGCAAAGTAAAATTCTCTGACATTTCCTCTTTGGAAATTTCAGAGTCCTGAAAAGCTGTGTCAGTAAAGATGGTGTTAGTCAAATGATAACAGAAATCGCCTTTTTTTAATGCTTTCAGCAATGCCATTGATCCTTTAGTGTGGTCATTACATTTCAGAAAGCATTCTGATTTCATCATGGCAGTTTTCACCATAGTCAAATCTCAGAACTGTCAGTTGTATTCCTTCTTTGATGACTGAGACTTTTTTTTCTGATAAAAGAAGAAAAAGTGAAAATCTCAAAACCTTGGCTTCAGAGAATGTTAAATGGGGGCTTTGTGAAAGAGAGAAAAGCCACAGGGGGCAATTCTTGATTATTGTTTCTTTGGATATAAACACCATTATTAACATGCTGTTGGCAATGTTATCTAAATTATTAGCTCATCAGTGGGTTACCAGGAAAACTACTTACATTTATGCTTTCTGAGCTGTATTCCTTCCTCAGCACATTCTTGTCTGTGCTCTTGTGCATCCAAGCCAGACCAGGCAGAAGGAACGACCCAGTGATTAGGTTGCTCAGTTAGAAGAAGGGACCTCACATAAGTCCTGCTAATCAAGTTTTCTTGAATGTCAGTAGGTCTTTTTTTTCCTTTGTGAAATGGAGAATTGTTGTTTCTTATTTATAGTTGAGGATAAAAGTGCTTTACTGGCAAGATACTCAGACAACAAGTCCACCGTGCAAGAACCTTACCTAAACATTATTTGGAGCCCAGCAGGATGGGTTAGTCATACAATGCACAAATCATGCTGTTGGCTCAGCTGCAAACAGGAAGAACAAAGTGAGATTCAAATCTGTTGTGTTTAGAATAGGAGTTTTGAATACAGCTGGTACTGGTGTCGGCCACTGATTTGTCTAGTGACAACTTTGTGTTAAAAATTTTTAATCTGGAATGATGTCTTACTTGGACTGTGTTTGCATTAGTGACAATACTTTTCACATAGAAGATTAAATAATTGTAATGATGCTGTCTGTCTCCTTGGTAAAATGACCCTGGATGGTCTGGTGTGGCCTGAGATGATGCTGTGGTCTGAACAATGAAACATGCTTGTGTGGAGGCTAGGTGAGTTGCTGTATGGCTCTAGAGTGCTGATGTGTGGCTAAAAGTCAGCCTGAACAACTGTAAACTGTGTTGCAGGGTTATAGAGATCAGCAGAACTTTATATGTGTGATACCTACAATTTGTGTTGTTTTACCTCAGGGTTTCTACTTCATATAGTCTAGTGCAGCAGTGGAGCATAACCTGGGTTTGTTCATTGTCTTCCAGGTGGTCATGGTTGTGCAAGGTCCTGCACCTAGATTGAGGCTTCAGTGGTTTCAATGCAGGCCAGAGAATGGAAGGGTTTGTGAGCAGCCCTGAGGAAAAGGACTTGGGAGTGTTGGTTGGTGAGAAGCTTAACGTGACCTGGCAATGTATACTCGCAGCCCAGAAAGCCATGCAAGATGGGTTGCATCAAAAGGAGCATGGCCAGCAGGTCAGGGGAGGTGTTTCTGCCCCTCTAGTCTGCTCTGGTGAGACCACACCTGGAGTGCTGCATCCAGCTCTGGGGTCCTCAGCGCAGGAAGGACGTCAGCCTGTTGGAGCAGGTCCAAAGGAGGCTGCAAAAATGATCAGAGGGCTGGAGCACCTCTCCTCTGAAGACAGGCTGAGATAGCTGGAGTTCAGCCTGGAGAAGAGAAGGCTCTGGGGAGACATTATTGTTATCTTTCCGTACTTAGAAGGGGCTTACAGGAAAGTTGAGGAGAAACTTTTTAGTAGGGCCTCTTGCAATAGGGAGTAGAGGTTTTAAACTAAAAGAAGGTAGATTTAGACTAGTTATAACGAAGCAGTTTTCTACAATGAGTGTGCTGAATCACTGTAACAGGTTGCCAGAGAGGAGGTAGATGCCCCATGCCCAGCAACACTCAAGGTCAGGCAGCACAGGTCTCTGAGCAACCTGCTCTAGTAGATGTCCTTGCTCATTGCAGGGGATTGGACTACATGACCTTTAAAAGGTCCCTTCCAACCCAAACTGTTCTGTGATTCTGTGGTGATTTTGCAAGTGCTGTGCATTTGCTTCTGTTCAGTGTGCTGCATGGAAAGACAGCAATTGTGCTGCCTGATGACCCCAAGGTACATGCTGTGGTCATGGCATTCAGCAGCCCATGCAAAATTTCTCGATAAATGTCTGCTGATGGAGAACGTTATCCTGCTTCAGGGTTGATACCATTGAAGCATATGAGTGCTCAATCTTCATCAATTCATTTCCAGTGTGGGCTAGCCTGTTTCTCTACTATTGCCTCTCTTAATGCAAGGAGGGAGGGATATCTGCATTTAGATCCTTCAAGATTTTGATTGACATTGTGGGATATTTAGTTATTTTTCTTTTGTATGGATCTTAAGTTAGGTTTTCTCTTGAATTGTCCTGATTTAAGCTTGTTGATACCACTGGAAGTACCATTGCTGAAGGTAGTACATTATTGTGCTTCATGGTAAAAGCTGTTGAATTGTCGTTTCTAAACCTAGACGATGTATAGGCTGAAGCCTTTCTTCAGGAGAGAAACCTGTGGCCCAATATAGGTATAAAAACAAAAGTGCTTTTAACTTATTTTGTAAATTCCAGTCTTTATTTTCCATTAGAAAAAAAACAAACCCCAGACCACCCTTAACCAACTGATGTAGTATTATAAGGGAAACAAAGAGTAGGTCTTTTTTACTTTTTCACTACAAATGTGAAATCCTTTACCAGGTGGCTGAAAACTTGAAAGACTAAAATTAAAAACCATATGCTAGATGCAAGACAATTTTAGTAGCTGCCAAAAGTGCAGAACATCCATAATATTTTTAAAAAGAAGGGTAAGCAGAAGTAGGTGATTGGGGCCTATGTTATTGGAATTGCTTTGGGCAAATTTGAATCCACTTTGAAAGAAGCTTTTTTTTGGTTTGGGAAAAGAACAAATTTTAGATTTCAATAAGTTTGCTCCATTTGCCTTTGTCTGGTGGCATGGTTACTTGCTAAAATGGGTAAATGTTAAAAATTATGTCATCCGGTTTAAAAAAAAAGAAAATTACAACCAAACAAAACCCCCAAATAAACAGAAAAAAAAACCCAGAGAAAGAGAAGTGGTAAACTGTGGCTGGCATATCTGATGACCTGTGCATGCAACCATCTGTAGGTGATCTTTGTATGCTCTGTCTGCAGTGGTATTCAGATTGCATTTGAAAGAAAATTCCGTAGTGACTGTTATCTTTTGACAGTAAAAGATATGGTCTATAAATAATTAGAATTAAAAAACCTTACATATCCCAGAAGTGTACACTTAAGAGTATGTAAGATACACTGAAAGTCCTTGTAGTCTGAGACTGGCTTCCCTAAACTTAAATACTGTGTGCTTTACATTAAGGACAGTCATGAGTCTGTTACAGGGATAGGTTTTGCTCAGGGTAGTAAATTCCTAAATGATACAGCAGTTTGTAAGCAGAGGAACTGTATGGAGTAGAAGACAAGTAAGGAATGTGTACATACAGTAGGAGACACAAATTAGCATCTTTTAACTGTCATTCTCTACCCCAGGATCATTCATTGTAGGTATTACTCCAGCTTGGCAGCTTTCTGTTGCAGTTTACTGCCTCGAAGGATTTGTAGCCTATGGGTGAATACTGTCTCTTGAATTTTACTGTATGCATTTTTTAGGGGGCTGTTTCATACAGGAGCCTACATCTCATCTCCTTATTGAATCAGATCACAGTAAATAAAGGGACATCATGTTTAATATCTTGTATCTGGCCACATGCTAAGCATCTGTTTTCAAAGAACAGTGAATAAAGAAAAACTACTCAAAAGTAGAAACTGCTTAATACTCACAGTAGCATCCTCCATCTAATCTACCCCACAAAACCAAACTGCCGAAGACAGCGCTATGCAAACCTCTGCTGGTATACTCAGATCTCCGAGACCTCACTATCCTCATGTGACAAAACGCTGCAGAGAGCTACAGAGCAGTAGGAGGAATGCTGCATGTGCTTACAGGTGCTGTGTGGTGTGGGGAGGCATAAGCATTGTGGGCTGAGTTGTCCTTGTTTGTGGTGTCACTGTTTTGGCCCTACTGAGGATGTGCAAAGGTAAGATAGTGTTGATAGTCAGAACTGGAATTAATTTAAAAAAAACTCCAAACTTGGTACGTGACAGATGTTTGTGATGTACAGGAAGATACTAAGATCTCTTACAGAGTTGGATAGGTGAAGTCAATGGTGTGTATGTCAGTGGAGGAGACTTATGGGATTTTTTAACGGAAGTTCATGCATCCTTAACAGAAGCAGCAGAAGGAGTAAAGGAGGTGGAGGAAGGAGATGAAATGTCACAGTGAGCTGCCACCAACAACAGCATCTTGACCAGAAGCCTATAGAGTGAGTCAGCCAAGTTCTGGGTAAGAGTGTTAGTACCAGGTGTAGGAAACAGTCTTCTTGCATGACTGCGTGTGTAGGGTACAGGATTTTGTAATGTTACCTCAGAAAGGGACCTGAGAAACACGTTTCTTTTAATGGATACAACCTTCTGGCTGATTCAGTGCAAGAGACAACAGCATTATTTAAAAGCAACATTTATTTGGCGCAGGAAGAAAAATAACCCAGAGCACACAGGTACACTAAAGGTGAATTTGGAACGGATCCTGCAAGAGGTTGTGTGTCTATGCGTGGGGCTGAGCATCATTCATTCATTTTATTTACATTTGCAGATTCTGAGCAGGTACAAGGACATCTCAAATTATAAGTATAGGCCCGAAGTAAGAACTTCTATAGAAGCAAGCAAAAAAGAACGAACCATCGATTCTGACCATGCCTTAAATCACTAAAAGGAAGCTAAAATCCACATGCATTTTACAAGCAAGGCTCTGCCACTTTGAAAGGATTTCCTCACCCAGGAGATGTTAGGTATGCTTTTTCCTTTGTCCTGTTTCTGGCCTGAGATCTGCCTGGCATGTGTGAAAAGCAGGTTTGTTCTGTGAAAGATAGAAGTGTCATTACATATATGAGACCAAAGATGCAAGCATGAGAGCCCTTGACAGCATCAGTGTATTGCAGTGGACACTTGTCCATACTGATATAACTCTGGTTCCATGGACAGTTTGCAGAACAAACAGGCTTTGCTGATGCTTCAGTTACAAGTATCTGGGTCTTCTTACATATTTCTATCCTGCCCTACCCAGTCTGACTGAAAGCTGCCAAGTCCTAGGAGTTGTTTTTGTGATGCAGTGACTGGTCAGCATGGAGCAGTCTTGACTGGAAAGGGCCTGGGAATTTGTAATTTAATGAGGGTGTGAGGGACAGAGAAAGAGATGGAAGGAGGTTTTGACATTAAAAGCCTTAAATTAAAAAAATAAAAATCTTACTAGAGTAGTCTCCAAAAGCTAGGGGAGGAAAGTATGATACTTCTTCGTCTTTGTAAGAAGTGAATTTTTGTTTCAGTAAAATCTATGGGTTAGGCACCAGCTAAACCATTTTAATCTTTGGGGTTGGTCACATTCTTGAAATGTTAGGAAAACTTTGATTGCAACAAAGGATGGATTTTGTCTGTCTTAGGTGGATAACTCTTTTCACACACACCACTTCCACCAGAGGAGGAAGAGCAGATGGTAGATGCAGGTCAGTTGACACTGGGAGAGGTCTAGGCCCTGCATCTGCAGTGGGTATTAGCTGCTGCATCCAAGTACACCTGCTCTGGAGCCTCCCTGTCCCATTGCCACACTCAGGAGAGCCATGCAGCATGATGGATGCTCTTGCCTTGGCACCAGATTCAGTCACCCTTGCGCTGATGTTGGTTGTCCCAAGTCCATAATCTCACAGCCTTGCGTACTTCCCGTGAGACGCTACTGTTGGCCCCACAGAGGCAGTTCACAACCTCTTAAGATTAAACTGTCCTTTATGACACACCAATGTTGCAGGCTAGTCAAAACAAGGTGATAAAACCACATTTCCTCTTGAAACTGCCCTCAGAGTGCCCCAGCTTCAGGTGACACCACAGCTCAGCAGTAGTACTCCACTGGTAACACCACTGTACCAGTGCTGCTCTTGCTGCTGGGGTGTGACATGGATATCACATCAGAGGGCTGTGTTTCTTTCCATGCAAAAGCTATAGTCTTCTGTAGAGAACGTTACTGAGGGCTTGTCATATCCAACTGCAAGGAGGGTGGCATGTGTGTGGCCTTGTTTTATCCTTGCCCAAGAAGGATGACCTGTTACTTTGAACGTGATGCACCATTGAGTTTCTTGCCCTAGTGCCTCAATTTTTAGCTAGAACTGCTTCAAAACTTCACATGATGGGGCTTGTAAGGTGGTGTCAGGCCAAAGAGCAAAGTGTATTTCAGGTATATTACAGACCCAGGAGCCAGGACACAGGTTGATTCTGTCAGTGTCTGTATCGATCCACAGTGAGGATAAGGTGGAGATGAGTCTTTGTCTCTTGTGGCAGGCCCTGGGCACAGCCTGCATGATGTGCCTGGAGACACAGGCAATTCTGATAGCAGGAGAGAGGCTCATACAGCAGGAGGCAACTCCAGAAACAGTGTGTCACATGACAGGTGAAGGAGAATTTTTGGGAGTATTTGAAGTCCAAAAGAAAAGGTGTTGCTGATTAAACAGTGCAATGCTCAGGTGCTGCTTATTAGACCTTCTCAAACCACCTGGGTAATGCAAGCTGGCCTCCTGGAAGACATCTTTTGATGTGGGGTTTTTGGGGGTTTTTTTGGACAGTAGAGGAAAGAAGGGAATTTTTTTGAACAGTAGAGGAAAGAAGGGAATTTTAGACTTCTGGCCAGGATGCTATGGCTGCAAAAGTAACCCTTCTGTTGTGGGTGCCCAAATAAGACCTGGCTTAAATTTGGAAGAGCAAAGATGTATGGCAAATCGAGCAGTTTTGGGGGATGAGGGGGAGGAGAAGACAGTGGGATTCAGCCAAAGCTTTCAAAAACTGAGGAAAGGCAAGTCAGGCAGGGGTAAAAGCTAGCAAGTTCCTGTGTTTATTGGACCTGCTGGTTGAGCTCCACTGAAACCCAAAGCCTGGCCCTGCCCTGTACTAGAAAGAGCAGGATGCGTTTGTAAGGCAGTTGTGACAGTCTCCTCTCCCCCACCCCTCCACCCTCTGTGTTAGTCAGGGGGATCTTGGGGCCTTGCTGTCTGTCTCCACCCTCAGGGACCTGGGGAAGCGCTGTTGCACTTAGGCTGTGGCCTGCCTTTCTTGGGGCTGCTTATTTCTTTTTGAAGAGCTTGCGGAAGGAGCTCCGGAACCCCCCCTTGGGCTCGTGCCGTGGGTTGTGGTCGCTGAAGGATGTTTGCTCATTGTCATCCTTCTGGCAGAACCTGGTGTTGTCTTCTGCATGGAGCTCCTAAAAGGGAAAAGACAATTTAACCAGCATTTGCAACCTCACATTCTTCTTCCCTTCTCTCTCTTTCTCTCTTTCTCTCTCTCTCTCTCAATCTCTCTCTTTTTTTGTCTGTGCTAGGAGGCACCTGGTGGGTGAGGAGGTGCTGGCAAGGCTGGGAAACAACAGGTCTTTCAAGCTTCAGCAGCACCAGTACCTCTGGAGAGAGCTTGTTGCTGGCTTTAAGGCTGAGGCAGTGGCAGAGGAGTGGAAGGATAAGCATTGTTAAGGGAACTGGAGCCTTTCTTACCATGCTTTTTGTTTAGGGGGAGCTTACTAGCTGTTCCTTTTGCCGGTGAGGTTGCAAGCCAGCACGGGCAGTTGGAGGAACTTCCCACCCTTTCCTTGAGCATGAGCTCTGTTTACCCTGGGGCAGAGAGGCCTGAGGGCTTGAGCTGTGATACTGTGTGAAAGACTCTTCTGCTGACTGCTGCTGCATGGTTTTATATCTGCGGGGCAGAAGGCTTTATTAGCGCACACACCTTGTGGGAAGTGTGCCACTAAAAACATCTTTCCCTCTTCCAGGAGAAAGCCAGGTTCCTCTCAGCGAGGCTCTGGACAAGTTCCTTTTCTCCAGTTCTGCTCACTACTGCCATGATGATATCCTGTGCATCCTGAACATGTCCTACAGTTCCAGACAAGCTCCACACCTGCCCCCTGCTGTGAGCCATAGCTCTGTGCAGGTGAGTGCCAAAGAGCTCACAGGCTCCTGTTTCTGGGGGGGCTGTGTCCCCATGGCTCTTCTCCCTCTGCCTCATCTTCCCTGTTCAGCTGTCCACCACCACTTTTACTCATTAAGGGTTTTTTTTTCTTTGATATTTCCTTGCTACTTTTCTGTTGGACTGTTGGAACCTACCTCCCATCATCATCTTAATCTACAGCCTCATCTGCATCTTGCCTCATTTTGAAAGGAGGGGGTTTCTCCACACAACAGTGACAGAACTAGCTAAGCACCTCACAGCATCCTTGGCCTCTTCCCCAGGAAGCAAAGGGCATCTACTTCCTTGAGTGTGACAGCTCAAAGCTGACTCTGAATAGTCACTGCAGATGACATAAACATTGTTCCTTCAAGACCTGGGGTCACTGAAAGGTCAGAGTGCTGCTTGCCATGTCCCATCTGAGGGACATGGTTGCTGGGCTCTGACCTCACATAGACTTGCATGGGTCTACAATGCATGCAACAAATATAGGTGAAACAAAACCTATGGACCAGATCCTTGCTGGTGTAAATGGACTGAGTTTGGCCAAGTCATGCTGGTTTACACCAGCTGAGGATCCATTGGTTTTCTTACCCAGCACTCCTCATAGCAGGTGGAAAGGCACCTCTTTAACTAGGTGCCACCCTATAGCACTAATTTTGAACATACTTTGTGACCTAATCAGAACATTCACTTGAGGGTGAAGCTTAGTGACAGCTGGAGACACAAAAGAGGCTACCTTGTCTCAAGGGTGTTTTAGCTGTTGCCCAGCCAGTTGTGTGCCTCAAGGGAAGATGTGTGTGAAAAGGGGCTGTCTTGTGCCTCCCTGGGGCATGTGCAAGCAGGTGAGGACTTTGCATGTGTGGACTTGAAAGCTATTTTGGCATGTTATATACTCTAACTGTATCTCAGATCTTTCCCCTGCTGCTGCACCACCACGTGCCTTTTTTTTCTCCTCCTATTTAAGCCTCCTTACTTCCAAAAAGCTTGGTTTTTCACCCGCTCCTCTCTGTGGGGGGAAGTAGCTCCTTTGGGAGCTTCGAGATGAGGCTGAGATCATGTGAGGCTGAACATTCCTCTCCTGCTTCTGCTGCAGACGGCTTCCGCTGCTGCTCCGTGTGCTGTAGAGTCTGGTGCTCACACCCTCAGCGCTCCTCGGCAGCTCCTTCAGAGACCTGCTCAGCTGCTTGCCTTTGCTGTGAAACATCTCACGCTTGTAAGTACTGCTGCTCACAGGGGTGCAGCTCTTAGGCAATGGCTGTAAGGCATGGTCTGTCCTCTCTGGTTCTGAGGTGAAGTTAACAGGCCTAAGGAAACAAATATCTAAGCTGGACTCTGAAGAGGCTGGAGAACAATTCTCAAAGAGAGCGAGGTTTTGGAAGGTGTCATCTTCATAGGGACCTGGCATGGTGAAAACCTCCCCAGGGTAGTCGAATTCTTCATAGCTTGGTGCAAAGTTCCTCGCATCCTGTAACAGCTCCACAGAGGTCCTGATGGCTCTCTCAGTGTTTCCCACTGCGTCAGCCGGTGGTGCTTCATACTCCATTTCAGGAATGGATTGTAAGGGGGCTGTCAGAGCCTTGAGTTCCTGCTCTGTCAGCTGAGAGGATGCAAGGATGTTCTCGGGCCTCTCATGTTTCCTACTTTCTATTTCCCATTCAGGGGGCTTTACAGCCTGGATATTCTCCATCACAGTTGGCTGGGGTTTCTTCATCTGGGGCATCAAATGCCTTAAAAATAAGGAAGAAAACAAAACAAACAAAAAACAGACAGAAGTGGAATACTGAAGGATAACAGAGACAACATGACAAGCCCCTCCCACCCCTTCACTTCCCCAGCCCTATCATCTTGATTTTATAGCAAAAAAGTATTTTCCTATCTTGAAGAACAATACCAGAGCTGTCACTTACAGAAATTGCCTGGCTGTTTAGGAGGAGCAGGAGCAGAACTGCTTATCCAGTAGCTTTGGCTGACTTTTGTAGTCTGCAGCATGAAATGAATAGAAACTGAGATGACAAGCCAACTGCTTCATCTCTCTGCTGTTCATCTGCATTTTGGATTTTTACTTTCCTTCTCCTTCTGTAATGTAGGGGCCATGCCTTACTTTCCTGTGGTCTGCTTGTTTTTTCAGGTGGACAAAGTTTCTCTCTTGGGTAGGGTGACTGTTCCCAGAATTGTGTCAGGAGTACTTGGGGGGCTCCTACCCTCCCTGTGTTCCAGGTAAATCAGGAGAGTACTGTATTGGATGAGGTATTAGGTGCAGGGTGTGCACTAGTTAGGAACATCCCATGGCCATTTTCTGGGGACATAATGAATAGAGTGGGGGAACAGAAATCTTGTGATGCTCAAGATGTGCAGAGCACTGCGTCTGGGGCAAGGTAACCCCATGCATCAGACCAGGCTGGGAGGTTTGGTTTGAGCAGCAGCCCTGGTATGAACTCAGGGTTATAGCCAATGCCCGGGTAAATGTGAGCTGACAGCATGCTCTCATGGCAGATAAGGCAAACCCTAGCCTGAGCTGTATTAGCTGCATGGCCAGCCAAACCTGGAGAGTTATTTTCCTCCCTTCCATTTAGTGCTGATGAGACCTCACCTGGACCCATGCTGAGTCCTCAGTTAAGCATGAATGTGGAGAAACTGAGGTGGTACCAACTGAGGCTACCAAGATAGGAGCCTAGAGAATTATGTCTGTGAGAGGAGGAGATTGGCCTGGGCAGTCTGGTGAGAAGGAGGCTAAGGATTGATCTAATAACACTACCACTTGAGGGGGACTCAGAATAATGAAGCCAACTCTATTTGTTAGTATCAAATGATATAAGGAAGCACAGCAGCCACAAATTGCTGACACAAGAAAAAAGGCAAGCCTAGCATGCTTCTCTGATCATCATCTCAGTTGGCATCTATCAATAGGCTAGAAATGGCCAAAGGGGGAGACATACAAGGAGCAGCTGAAGTCACTTAGTCCGTTCAGCCTGGAGAAGAGGACACTGAGGGGAGACTTAGAGCAGTATGCAACTTCCTCATGAGGGGAAGTGGAGGGACAGGCACAGATCTTTTCTTTCTGGTGACCAGTGACAGGACTCAAGGGAATGGCCTGAAGTTGTGTCAGGGAAGGTTTAGGTTCAATATTAGAAAAAGGTTCTTTTCCCAGAGGGTGATTGGGCACTGGAACAGCTCCCCAGGGAACTTGTCACAGCACTAAGACTGACAGAGTTCAAGAAGTATTTGGACAATGCTCTCAGGCACATGGTGTAATTCTTGGGGCTGTGCTGTGCAGGGCCAGGATGATCCTAATGGGTCCTTTCCAGCTCAGAATATTCTGTGACTCTGTGAAAATTGCTGGGTATTAGTCTTGTGTCTTTTTGAACCTATTTGTATCTTGTGATAGTGAGTCCCGTAATTCAATTATATGCTGTGTGGAAAAGTACTTTTTTTTGTACTCTCAGACCTTGGTCATGTTTCCTAGCTCTTGTAATGCTGACAGTGAATAATGCAGAGTGTTGCTATGCACATTGCTGTCAGGCCTACATAAATTCACATCCTTCCTGGCATACTGTTAAGACAGCTAGCAGACAGCCCTGGGTAGAGATCTGAAATGTTTCCGACTTGTAAGCCACATGGTAGGGGATAGCCGGAAGGAGCCAGCCCTTCATCTCTCTATGCATAAACAGGGAGTGGTCTTGGAAATGGCAGTCTGTAACTGCCTGGTGTCATGGGCATGGTATGAGTGAGGAGAGAATTTTTAGCCTACTTTGAAAGCCTTCTACTAGGACAACACGCTTACGGGGTTGTCGTGCCAGAGGAAGGTGCTGGTGGGAATGACTGTATTGTCTCTTCAGTGTGGATCCCACTGTCCCGAATAGATGCTGCACTGGCTGTTGGAGAAACCTCTTGGCTTGTGCACTGGGAGGTGAGACCTTTGTACAGCTTCACCAGGGATGACCTGAGGGAGGAGAAATCCATCGTCGTGCTAAGAAATAAGGCAGGGAATGAGCACGAGCATGTAGAATCACAGAAAACAGGACTGGGAGTGACCTTAATATTCCCATCCACCTCTTCCCACCCCAAAGAAGGACCTGTTCCACCTACTCTGTTCCAGTCAGCAGGGTGTCCTGCTTTGTGTCCTGTTCTTCATGCTACTCCTGATAGCAGTCCCTCCCCCGCAGTCTGCTCCAGCCCTTTACCCCGGTCCATATTTAGAAGCTTCCTTTGAAGTTTGATCTTGTCCTATTCCCCAGGTAAATCATCACAAGGAACATAGGCAACCAGAATTTGATTTTTGTAAAAAGCCTTGATTTCAAGGAATTGTTCTGAACTGCAACTTGAAAATCTACATTCAGGGTCATCTCTATCACAGTTCATCTCAAACAGGTTATGGGAGGCTTTTGTTTCTCCCACCCCACTGCCCCAGTAAAATAAGGTAACACTCTTCTTTCATTATCTTAGCCTATAGGGCAACACCAGGGCCCCGCCCACCAAAGCCGCTAAATCCCTGTGTGTTCTCCACGGGGGAGTGACTTTGCCATCAGCTTAAGGAACCAAATGATCCCATGAAAAACGTGGCTGCTATGTTTAGAAGGATTAAAGTGATTTTTCCTTTCACTCCCAGAGTTAGACAGAAGGGCCCACCCCAAATCTGACCTCAGTTCAGAGCACAAATGCCAGTAGTGGTCCTTCTCCAGCATTCATATGCAAAAGGCTTTGTTTTATTTCAACAGTGCCTGTTGATCTTCCCTGGACCTAAACCCCCTGTTGCTGGGTTTCCCCCCACACTTCCCTTCCCTGGTGATAGAGAGAATGAGCTGATGTGCTTACTTCTTCAGCTTTTTCCTCTTCTGAATCAGCAGGTCTTCATTGCATTGGAAGAGGAGACTATAGTGTGAGATGAAAACCCGAAGGCGCTGCACACACACCAGCAGCAGGTAATAGTCAGGATGCTCTTGCTCCGTGAACTTCAGGACATTCTGGGGCACAGAGGAGAGCAGGCTGTTTGGAGGGTGTCCTAACCTTTTCTGGGGAGGAGGTGCTACTGGAACCATGGATTAGTGCTCTGCCCTGTGGGAGATTTTCTAGGCAGCATCAGTTTCTGAGGTACTTGCACATAGTCTGCCTCTTACTACTCCTGTGCAAATGCACAAGTAACTGCTGTAAATGTAATCATGGGATGTGTGGGTGATGCAGTGGTTGAATTTAGCATTGGATAAATAAACCAATCTCTTGGTTTTATAGGGCTTGTTTTCAGTGTCTTTTTCCTTGTCTGAAATGTTTCAGTACAATTCAGATAAACCCTTCGGTGAACCAGAACTCATTTTATCAACCATCACTGTGTAGGAAGGTTGTTGGGCCCTAGGAGCGCTCTCAGTCTCTCAGCTAACAGGCATGTGAAGTACTTAGCAAAGAGCATAGCTTCGTTACAGGAGTTAGATCAGAGTTCACAGTAGATGTGTCCCATCTCTGGCCTCCTGTTCTCCCAGAGCAGCAGACAGTAGAGCTTTTGGCTTCCCAGGGAACAAAATTTGGTTCTGTCAGGTCAAATGGAGAAATTGGCAAATATAAGTGAGCTTTAGATGAAAATGATGAAAATTAAGCTATTGTTATCTGGCTTTCCCTTTCAAAATTTTTTTTTTTTTTTTTTTTTACAAAAGCCCACTGGGTTTGCCAGAAGCCCTGTACCTGCACAGGCCTAAATACTAGCTCTGTGTTAAAAGTCACCTGCTGTGATAAGAGTTCAACAAGACAGTTTCCATCTTGGGGTCCTACCTGTAGATGAATAAGGTATTCAGGGATTCGCTGGACTATATGGAAGAACAGAATGTAGAGATCAGACTTGATTTCTTCTTCTACCTGAAATAAAGAAAGCAACCTAAGTGTCTTTACCACACATGAAATATGTCTGCTTCCAAATGCTTCTGCAGTTTAATGGGTAGTTATGCTGTAATTATAACAGTTCACAGGAGCACAACTGTCAAGTGGCAGTTGTCTGTGACAGTCAAATATCTTCATGTTGCTTCTTCAAGGGACAAGTGCAACTCCTTCCACCAGAATACTAGTCCGAAGCATGGAAGTTTTTTGGCTGGGGACTATCTACAAGGGACACTCATTCTATTTAAATAGGGGTCTGTGTTTGAAGTGCACTAGTTAAGTTTCAATGAAACCTCAGGTAGATGCTGTTGTTCAGAATGAAGTTCTTAGTTTAGGCCCAAATGAATTGATCAATGAGATTGACTTCCAAATTAAAATGTATTGGAAGCATGCTCATGTGGTTTAGTTATTGCACTTAAGAGCTACCTTTATGTTTAACTTTCCTAGTTTAAACCAAGAATCAAGGGTGTGAGACCAAATACCTGAAGTTGAACAGTGAAGACTCTTTTCTCTATAGGACACTTACAGCCTCAATCTTGATCTCTCTCTGTTTGGATGAGTCCTCCATTTTCCAGGAGACACTGTTTGTCTGGAAAAGGTCTGGATAGCATGTGCATAGCCAAGCTTTTGGGAGGTTTAATTTGAGATATTGTTTCATGTCACAGCAGAAGTATAACTTGGGTTACACAGACTAATGAACATGTTAAAGCTGCCTCTTGTAGGTGCATGTCAGCTGTGGCATCCTTCAAGAAACTGGCATTTGGCAACAGAACAAGTGGATTGGCTGAAGTCCTGTGGGGGGCAGGCATAAGAGAATGAGATCCAGGCTTGCATGTTGCTGTTATGTGTCTGTGGAGCAGGCAGGAAATTTACCTCTTTCAGGATCACCACATGGATCAGAGAGATGCATTCTGGCAGGTCCCTCAGGTAAGCGACATAGTAGTCCAGAAAATTATTCTTACAAAAAGGAAAGAGAAAAGAGCAAAGAAACTTGAGAGAGATTTTTGGTCATAGAGCCATCCAGAATGAGAAACTACTGACTCCCCACCATTACTCCTGAAGGTCACCAGTGCCGCAGAGATGTTAACTGTGGGACAATTTCAGGGCTCAGAACTTCTCTCAAGAAAGGCTGTTTAATAAAGTATGTTCAGCTGTTGGGCACAGTGTGTAAAGCTTTACAGCGGGTGGGGACAGGTAGAGAGGCTGGGCAGCAAGAAGCTTTTCATATTTAAGACTCTTAAAGTTTATAAAGCATCAGATGAGTTTTCACACATCCTTGCAGAAGAGATCCCTCTGCTGACCAGGACAAACCTTCAACGTGAGAAGCAGGTGCAACAAGCCATGTAGGATAAGAGGCCCTGCCCACCTGCTTGTCATAACTCTGAGCAAAGTGTATTGGGGAAGGGGAGCATCAGAAACACCCTCTTTTCACACCTTCACTGAGAATACAGACATCCAACCTGTCAAGGCTCATGTGTGGCTCCTGCAACCGAGTCTATGTCTCGTGCACTGATTACATAGCTGTTCTGTGTGGCTGCATGCCCCCATGTGGGTCTGGAATGTGGACTCCCTGACCAACCAAATACTACAACAAAGGGGCTACCATGCCCCAGGACTCTGCTCAAAGGAGGTTTGCCGAAAGGCCTTACCCTGGCCACAGCTTCACAGCACAGCCCCTCTGCTGCAAGGTATCTTGGCCCACCTGTGGGCCATCAACATAACATCATGAATCATAACAGAAGAGTCTGGAGAGGTCTGTAACATACCTCATCATTTGTTAACTTCAGGAAGATGTCTCCTAGGATCCCTTGTCGGGGCCAGCTCAGGACTCGCTCCTGTAGAGCATGAAGTAAATCAACATGCTGCTGGACCAGGAACCTCAGAGAGTTGGGGAAAAAACTGAAAGGAGAAAATAGCAGACTAGTTACATAGAGCAAAAACTCAGCCCTAAGTGTCTACTGCTGAAGTGTGCATTCATGGGTGGTCAGCACACTTTTGCACTTGTGTTATTATCTATACATATACTATAGCACAGGTATTATTAACTACTTTTTTTGGAGTCCTGGATGCACCAGGAGATCCTGTTTTGGTTGCTATGTACATGCAAGTACCATCTTCAGGTGGCTATTAATACAGTGTTTTTAAGACTTCTTAGGCTGACTTTCCAGTGCATTGTGTAGCTGACCAAAATTTGCAGAACTAAAAAAAAAAACCCAAGGCAATGCTGCTGTGACTAATGAAGCAGGACCATGGTCCTGAGCCATCCAATCTAATCTTGGAGGTGAGCTCCCCAGCTTTGTGTGTTGTCTCATTTGTCAGGCCCTTTAACAAGACGCTCACTGATGCAGAACTAGTCAAAATGTGCTACTGCCTTTCTGCCATTTCATATTGATTTCATGCAGAATCAGAATTAAGATCTCAAATATCGAAGTATTTTGCCAGATAGAAAGGTTCCAGGGAAAAAGAATAAAAATAAAAATTCACTGACTGTCATGGGTCACTATGAACTGTTCGTGTCATGTAGCTGCTTAAACATCAACCCACATACTGTATGTCCCACAGTGAGCTGCTGTCAAATGAATCCTTGGATGTGGGACTCCTAGAGACAGTGGAAAGAGCCAAAAAAAGACCTAGCAAGGACTGGGGTCCCCAGATGTGCTTAGGGATTAGGAACCTCCAGGCCGAAGCTAAGTGAAGGGGGAGAGCTGTAGGATTTAGCTCATCCTGGGAACTATGGCAGCTGTCACAGAGAATGGCCTTTGCCAAGACCTGTGTTTAAATGCTAAGCTGGATCAGTCCCACTGGTCTTGTATCTGTGTGTGTGTCTGTATATGTCAATATAGGATGGACAGCAGCCACTAGCCAGGTGGCTTATGCCCAATGCAGCTTCTAGAGCTGGAGCTGTGAACTGGGAGAAGCAGGCAGTGAACACACAAAGCTTTGTTCCCAGAAGGCATGTGGGACTGATGGTACTCAGAGAGAAACTAAAATGAAGTAGTACTGAAACAGTTTGGGATGCAAGGTGGACAAGATGCAAGGGCAGGCAGGAAAGGCTTTAATCACTGCAAAACCTTTCCAGTGCCTCCAATTTTCAACTAGAAATAAGCTTTTAAGTGTGCAGCAATCTCTGTGTGGAAGAAAGAAAAGTGTGACAGAGGATGATGCAGAAAGAATATTGACTGGAGAAAACTCCCCAAAAGAGAGAGAGCACACTAAATCAAATACCTTCTCTCTTTGGTGCTTCTTTTCACATCTGGCCCTTGCAATGTGGCCTTGATCTTCAGGATTAGGGAAAGGTTGATGACATACTTCCTTTCTGACTCCAGCAGTTCCAGAGCAATGTTCTGCCTTTTGGCTTCCATAAGATAATGATTAAGTTTAAAAATAAGGAAATACAAAGACAGCTCATGTTAGACTGGTGATCTGACATTGAATCATGAAAGGAGAAGCTGTTTAAAAGTGATACCCATGTCTTGTCTTTGTGTGTCTACTTTCCCTAAAATGTAAAATTCCAGCCTGATGCTACAGCATGCCCCAGACATGACTGGAGCCACAGTTTGCTAAGAAAGCTCCAAAGCAAATGTGTTTTTCCCTATGAATACAAAATTTTTCTAAGAATAACAAAACAAGCAATCAAAGGCAAAATGACTCAGATCAGCATTTCCCAGTTTTCTGCAGAATGAGAAGTTATATTTTTCACCCACTTAAGGAACTACACTGCCACAATCCCATGAGTACTCTGAACCTGACAGGTCTTGGAAAGGAGAATAGCTGTCCTGGGTACAGAGTGATTCTGTCAGTCACAAAGACCAGCAGATACAGAGGTCTCGTAGTCTGAGGCCCTGAGACATTCCCCTCTAGGAGGAGAAACTGGCCTGTGTGTCTCCCTTCATAAAAGCTGATTACTAACCAGCTCACACCAGATATGGATACAGATTTGAGCCTTTCTACCCAGAGTTTTCTACTCCTTACCAGCCAAAGAGGGTTCACATATTATGTTGTCTGCTGAGCTGTATCTGCTTTGGCCCATGTCTTTCCCTCTTTCTGGTTGCTCTTTGGAAATGTATTCATCTCCCCAGTCCTTGGTGTCCTTGGGCTGCTTCCATACTGTTGATGGCAGATGCATTTTTGACTGCCCCTCTGTTGTCAAGGAAGGCTTGAGGCTGTCATCTGTCTCTATGGCTGCTCCTGCAATGACATACAGGTGTACCGACCTTGACATCTCAGTTGACAGATTACTCTATAGCAGTACTGGAAGGAGAGTTTGAAGCATTCTTTGTACTTCACAGGGGCCTTATAACGTTAATTTACAAAGGAAATGCAGCTGATGAGCAGAACAAGGTTCACATTCTTCCAGCATTTATTTTCAGGCCAAATAAGGTCCAAAATTAGACAAGAAAACGTTAGAAAAGAAAAAACTCATATTCCAAGTATGATTGCCCTTCAGGGTTTTGAGACACTTCAGGACTTGGTAATATGATACTTATTGGCAGGTAATTATAGAAAGTATTATTATGATTTGGATTTAAATGCCAGTCTCAATGGATGTAAACTGTCATACATCTTAACATTTTTGTTAGTGTGATGTAGTTATACAGCAGCAGCAGGTCTGATAGTCTGAGGCTATTGAATCACAAGAAGGGAGGGGAGGGTGCAGGTGCATTAGACCTCTTGGGCTGGAATTGCTCTAATGCAAATACTTTGAATTTGGGTTGCAATGAACCATTTTCTATAGCTTTTGTTCTCTCTTTTTTTTTCCAAGTGTTTTCAAACAAAAGAGCCATCCAGAAACTGTGAGTGCTGCTAGTGAATAGGGCAAACATGTAATAGTTGTTGTCATGTGTCCTTTGACTGGCCAGAATCCTTAGTGTCTACTTCCTATACCCTACTCTTACTTCTGACCAATTTTTATTTTTGCCAGGAGAACTCCTCTATTACTATTCACATGTGTCTACGAGGAATCTGGAAGTTCTTGGGTGAATTAACATCTCATCAATTCTGTTGGTGTATAGTCACTACAAAGACCATCTCTTTGCAAGCAGCAAAATGAGATGCTCATTATTCTTTGTCACATCAGGAAACCTCAATTCTTCCTTTCTGTAAAGGCACTTAGAATCTGAGCAAGCAACAGCAGAAAGACTTTCCCTGCCAGGTGTCAATCTTTGGCATTGACTGTCAGGTATTGGACACTTCAGAGACACAGGTTTGCCCTCATATCTCCACTGTGTGTGTGAAAATGGAGGTACATGGCAGAGTGAAAGACATCCCTGTGAAATGCTTTCTTCAGTACAGTAAAGTAAGCACTCTAACCAAATCATTGTGATGCTTGTTTTTGTCAGTTTGATATTTTCATACCTGGACCTGCTATGACCTTCACACTGCCTTCTCCCATTGGCATGATCCTGGTGTCAGACACTGTTGAAAAATAAAGGGAAATTTAAGAAGAGAAGACCTCTGTAGAGCAGGCTTCCTCCTGCCAAAGCCCTGTCAGTATGGTTAAATGCTCCAGTCTTTCACAATTTTGCTATGGAAATTTTGCATTGGAGAGTCTAATACCCTGTTAGAGTATCAACTAAAGAGGATCTTTACTGTTGTGGCTCTTGTTGCAGTCTGTTTCACTCGCACTTGCAGGCAGCTAATTTGGAGTTCCCTGTTGTGTTCGGTGCTGTACAACTGCAGAAGACTGTGAGCAATCTTGGCTAGTACTTGCTCAGTAGGTGCATGTTGGGTAGAAGCTATCCCACAGACAGAACAAGAGGATAGGGGCCTAACACATGGCTGCCATTTTGAGTGGAAAGGAGCTTATTGAAGAGTGGGGGATGAGGCTGGAAAGAAAGGGGCAGTGGGAGAAACAGGTGGCTGTACAAGAGGGATATGAGGGAGAGGGCTAACATGCCACCTCAGAGTGTAGGGCAGAGGAGCACTGTGACTGGCAGGTTCTGAGCAAAAGAGAGTAGAAAACAGCACATGGGTTTCATCTAATCTCTGCCTTTGTTGACATTTTAAATGTATATGGTTTTATTGTCTTCTTATCTGAACAGTAAGAGAGTGATAGAACTGTTCAGACCCCCAAACTTAATTCGAGAATAAAATGCTCTGGTCCATTAACTTTTCTTTGATTCCAGCCTTCACAAGTGTTTGGCAGTTGACAGTGTTTTCTTCATCAAGGTGTAACCCTGGGTCAGCAGCTTCTGCAGCTAACAAGGGGCAGTGATTCTCCTGGCAGTGTGTATATGGACCAGCTCCAATGTCCTTTTCTCAAATCAGCCACTGGTATGGCCCCTTAATGACACCAGGTGTTCTCCATCAGCCCCATCCCTGTGATCCTCCTTCTTGTGCCCTGCTCCCTCTCACAGAAACAAACCCAGAGATTGTAGGATTTTTATCAGGGCCCCCTATTTGGTTCTGTGTCTGGGCCACTAGCACTACAGGAATAAAGATCCAGCCTGGATCCCTTTCCTTTGAGTAGGCAAGCAATGGCTTTTGGGACAGTGTTTACAAAGCAACATCTCCTGAATCCAGGCCAGCACCACAGCTGCTATCCTGAGACAGTCACGAGGTGCCTGCACAGACCCAGGAGCAGTGCTGCTGAGGGGAGCACCCCTGTTCTCTTTCTGTTTTGCTGTCACCTGAGGAACAGTTGGTGTCCTCTTAGTGACCTTCTTCTGAAGTACTTTTCTGAGGAAGGCACTGTATTTGCCTACTCTATGTCCTACCTTTTTCATAAGTCACATTGTGTAAAAGACTTGTAAAATCTTCATTGATTAGCACAGGTTCTGGAAGGTGAATGGATCGAAATGGGCTGCCCTGGAGAGGCGTCGGCACTGTCTGCGACCCGTGATCATCCTTCTGTGCTCTTCTGTACAAATACAAGGAATGAATCAGTTTGAAAGTATGAATGCTACAGGTGAAGCTCCTATGCCACAGTTGTGGCAAACAGTAGTGTAAGTACAAGTCAGAAGTAGAACAACTCTAGCAGAGACAGGAAGGAGTTGGCTTTAATGGAATTGGCAGTTCATGAACAATGTTCTGGAAGTAACTTCCACTGGCTCTAGGAGAAGGGTATTTCAGATTTTTTATTTTGCAGAGCATATGTCATCTGATTAAATAGCTTAATTAGCTAAGGGGCTAGCCTAGATTTGCAGTGTTTGCATCAAGGCAGCTGTATAGGCTCTTGATCAAAACTCTGTTTTCAGAAGGAGGCTAATCAGGGCCAAGCTGGATAACTCATCTGCTTCATCACAGCAACAGTGTGGCCCAGCAGTGGTCCTGCTCAGAGGAGAAAAGGCTGGTGATGGGAAAGTGCAGCATAACTGCACCATTAGGAGCCTGCTGTGTCCTATGAGCTTGGAAGGGGAAACTAGAATCTTATTGTCTGGATGGGGATGACTGACTTTCTAATTGTGAAAGCTTCTAATTTTCAAGAATATTCCTGCCCCAACATGTCTTTAGAGGGTCTGTGTGTTCTACCAGGCCCTGGTTTCCCTGAGAGCTGCTGGGGGTTATTTTACTGTTGGAATCACAGTGAGGTGTTAGCATTTTTCTGCTGTGTTTGCTCTGTGGGGTGAACTGAAAGTTAGAGTTTCTGGTCATAATTAGGGTTGATACACATGTCCAGCCAGGAAAATGTTAAGAAATTAAGCTGTTTGGAAATTAACAGAATGCATAGCACTAATTAGCACTTTCAGAACCCTGGGGTTCGGGCCCTTACTTAGTTTTCACCTTCCGTGATTCCCGCCGCTTCTCTTGCTGCAGCTGCTCAATTTTCTGTTGCATTTCCTCCTGCTTGGCACTGATTTCTTCAATCATTGACTTTGCATCGCTGAGCTCCTCCTGAGAAACAGGCAAAAGCACAGCATTCCCAGGGTGCCCATCAGCCTTTTGTAGCTCAGCTTTGAATGCTGGCCGGTGTGCACTAAAGGTGCTTCGGAGTGCTGTGGAGAGTGGCTCTGTGATTAGACACTCTCACTTTGCGAGTCCATTTTGTATCATACATGCCATGCACAACATGGCATTACATGGAAACCCTTAATTCCACAGGCAATTCACCCAAGCCAGTGTGGTGTCATGTGATTAAGGCACTGGCGGGAGATGCAGACTTAGGGCTCCATCCACCACTAGTTGAAAGCATTATGGGGACTTCTGCCTTTAATGGCATTTGGAGGTGAGCCTAAGGAAGCACATTTCCCTCTGCAGTTCTCCAGCATGTGTATTCACATGTTGCACTTGGTTCAGTTCCCAGTGTGAGCACTCACATGTAGAAGCTTTTGCCAGTCAGGCCTTGGATCTGCCCTTTTAGCCTGGTTTCCTAAGGAAATGAGGCCCTCTGTATCCTCCCTGTCAACAAGTCCTCCCTCAGGCAATTTCAGCCAAGCCTCACTCGGATGTAGAGCTGTGATGCATGAAGTTCCTGCACACTTCTCATCAGTGTGAGTGGCAGGATGGAGGAGAGAGACTAAAGAGTTTCTTATAAACCAAAGGAGAGGGATTTTCCCCAAGCAAGGAGCTAGCTTCACTGGGAGCTCAGTATTTAAATAGTCAACATGGGCATGAGACCTTTGCCCCTCCTGTTGCTTGCATAATTCCTTGTATCTGGATTTTAAATCCTTTTCTCCCCTAGCAATGTCCTGATAACCCTGCCTCTGGTTGCTCTGAGTCCCCTCCAATGTGCCCTTATACTTCTTGTCTCCCTTGCTCATCTGGGACCACAGAGCAACTTTTGCCTGACGCCATCCATCTCCCAGTCACAGGGTCAGTAATGGGCTTTTCCAGCAAGCAGCCCTCTTTAGCTTCGCAAGGTATTATTGACTCAGCAAAACCCCACGGGGAAAATTTGCAATAAAAACAATAGAAGAGTTCCTCTGCCTGCCTCCTCACAGGCATTCATCCAGTTTCTGCATGGAGACACTGGCTGGCTTAAAGTGTACATCAAGCCTTCTTGCTAGGCTCTCTCCAGTCCCTTGTCTTTACCCTCAGCCAGATCAAACCAGGCAGCACTTCCTCCCAGCTGTGTGGGAATGCAGCTTCAAAAGGCTTTAGGGTTTTATGTTAATTCACTGCTTCCCAATAGCTTTGGTTCATGCAGGAAATGCAGGAGACCTGACCCATGGAGAGGTACAGGACAGTGTCCTAGCAGCAGCCTGTAAACAGGCCATATGCCTGTTGCATGTGCAGCCCAGGGCAAGGGTTGCTTGCACCCAGATAACTCACAGCACTGCCTCATGGCCCATCAAGAAGGCTAAACAGGCCAGAGTATGGGTTGGTGCAGTGAGGGGAAACCCAAAGCCAAAGGAGTACCTCAGGTTTATCCAAAACAGTTGCCTGCTCATTTTCTTTCCAAGCAGAAAGGATTGATAGAGGCAGGGGAATGCTTCCCTGTGCCACACCAGCTAATGCAGCATGTGTGCAGCCTCCCCGCAGGTCACACTCCTACCTTGAACGTGTTGAGGGAATTCTTCATCTCGGCCACTTTCTCTTCCATAGCACAGCGGCAGCTCTTGACCTTCTCCTCCAGGGCATACTCCCCATGCTGGATTCGTGACAGCTCCTGCATTGCTTCTGTGAAACCTGCCTTCAACTCAGAGGCTAATGCCTGCAACTAGAACAACCACAAACACAGCAGGTTCAGTCCCTCCTCCCAGGTGCAGGTGGCTGTGTCCCCATGGTTCAGAGTAGCACGAAGGCTGGGTGTAACCCATCCTGTAAGGTGCTGTCCTCTTTCTCCTCCTGTCGTGGCTGGGAAACATGGGGGGAGGTTCAGCCCCTGCTGCAGCCTCAGTACAGCGTGGGAGGTGTTTGTCCTGGGCAATCAGTGAGCCCCTTTTCTAGACTTAGAGTTTTTCCAGGCTACCTGGCAGTTTGCAGCCTGTCAGCGTGTAGGAGAGGACAGCCTGAAACATGCCAAGAAGGTTAGCAGTAACAGGAGCCAGATTATTAATCTCCAAAGCAGCTGAGCAACCAAGAACATGTCTGGTTTTAAGCAAGTCCTCCTCCCCCACATGCTTGTGGGGCTGGTACTCTCCCCAGACAGGTCTAACCCCTCATTCTCCAAGAGCTGTGGAGGAGCTCTGTCCTTTGTCAGCAGACCCTTTTCATGGAAGGAGGCAGCTCTAACTCGTGCTGGAAGGGGAATGGAAGGTTTTGTCCTGGCATACAGTGACACTGTGCCCACTCTCCCTGTTTTGTGTCCCTAGAGGCCCTAGCTCACTACCTAAGCTGGAGGCAGCCAGTTGATAGCCAGGCGAAGCAGAAGAAGGACCAGGGCAAGCCAGGCTGGCATAGCAAGCAGACAAGGCAGGTGTGGAGGTGGGCAGCGAGGGCTGGTAGGTGGCTTGCAGAGGGCTAAGCGGGGACACCCTCTTTGGGAGCAGTTCAGGCTGATGACCCTGAACTCTGCCCCCGCTGCTGTGAGCAAGGCGCTTGTTCTGCCTGCACAAAGCCCACAGCGAGGTCACGGCCCAAGGTGCTTCGGTACCAGTAGTTTTACCTTTACAACAGAAATTCGGCCTAACATCTGGTTATAAACTGAGTCGAAAACTGGAGCACTGGTGGTAAGCGGACAGCCACCCCGGGGAACTCAGGCGCTTGAGTCCTGTAAATGGAGCAGAGATGGCTTTCCGATACCTCAGGGCAATGGCATGCACCATCCTCCTCTGATCAAGACTGGCAGTGTCTTTACAGAGGATGTCTGCCTGACATCCCCGCTCCTACCCCAGTGTTTACCACACAGCCCCCAGTCTGATCTGGCTGGACACGTATTTCCAGAGCTGCCTGGGAAGGAGGAGCAGGGCAGAGGGGAGCAGGAGGCTGAGGATCCTGACTCCCCAAGCCAGCTGGAACTCCAGACCCCTTGGTTCAACCCCTTCCCCCACCCTCTCTGGCTACAGTGGACACCTTGCCACCCTGTGACCTGTGAGTGTAGCCTGAAGGGTTAGAGGTGCTGCTTGGGGCCATAGCTACTAGGGCAGGCAGTGACAATACTGCTTCTGATATCTCAGTCTAAATGGTCATGGCATCATCAGTCATCCTAACATACATACCTGAAGAAGTGGGGTGGAGGTGGGGAGGGTTACAAAGTACTGCAACTGTGCAAAATATTAATATTCCCATCCCTGCTCACAGGTGCTTCTGCCCTGAGCTGATGTGGTCAAGGCACAGTCTATCTGGCAGCTTGCATTAGGGCTGGGAATCACATGCTGTCCTCCAAGTGAAAAGGGATGATTTGTCAGATCTGTCCCTTTTAACTGAAATATGTTATTCCATTCTATCCTATGCTATCCACTTTAGAGATCTGCTTCAGGATCACAGCCTCAAGTCTTGCTAGCAGTGGAGCAGTCCTGGAGCTGGCCCTGGTGATAACAATGACTGGGGAGAATAAGCCCAAAATGAAAGGTTTCTGCCCACAAGTCTGGCTGTCTCCTCCTCAGATGCTTCCAGAAAGGGGGTAAACTAGACAGATCCTTTGTGAAGGGTATAGGGATGGGAGTCACTGCTGATCTAAAGAGTGCAGAGTAAAAAACTGCAAGGCATCAGCAAAAGTCAGCAAAAATGGACCACTGCAGAGACTTTGGTGTCCATGTGCACTGAAATGTTCTGTAAAAGCAGAGTTCAGCCAATGAAAAGACAGATTTGGACTAGAGGCTAGTTAAATATCCTCTCCATCTAAGAGCAGACAATCACCTGTTATTTTGGGATTTACTGTTGACCAGTCTCTGCTTTTGCAGACACGGTGCTAGCTCAGTTTCTTTGTGTGTCCTTCCCAGTGCTCCAGACCCCAGTCTGGGTCTGTCCTGCCCGATACATCCTTCCTCAGCCCCATGCAGCTTGCAGTGGTGATTTCAGACACTGAAATGCAGCCTTTTGTTGCCGCTTGATGGATGAATGCAGTAAGCAGCACTAATCAGCTACAGGGCCTGTACAACTGAACATGAAGTGCTGAAACCCTGAGAACTCCCTGCTCAAAGCATAGAAAGGAAACACAAACAGCCTTGTGGCATTGGATGCAGGTTTGATACAAAATTAAGTGGAGTGGTACAGGAACAGCATGTTATCTTTGATCTCTTGCCAAGCACAGTGTAGCTGCGGATTTTAGTTTGAGCTCATTTCTAACAATAAGCTGTAGAAAACCATCCTTTACATCCCATGAAATGTTACAACAACTGGAAGCTTATGTCTTACCCAAGCGATTATGTCTACAGGACCAGAGAGAGATTTTACACGTTTGTGATCCCCTGAAAGTCAAGCTGATTCTGTGCTTCTAAAATTTCTAAGTGCAACATATACCAAAAAAAAGACAGATTTTATAATACAGCAACAGTTTAACTGTAATGTGTTGCCCTGGCTCACCTATTTATGGGAATAAATACACACCTTAATGCTTAAATTGTGGAACTTAAAGAGCACACCTTAAGTTGAACTAACTAATGCCTAGAGAATAAATGAATCTGCACGGTCATAGGGAGTCCTTAGAACCTGTCCAAGAACTGTTCAAGAAAAGCATTTAAGTATCTAAATAATTTAGCATGAGATACACATTTCAGCGCCTATCTACACTTGCGGTGTAGCCATCAAACCTGACAAAGCAATGCAGTAAGGCATCCAGTGCCATGTGTCTGTAGCAGATTATGTGTTTCTTGGGCACCATGACTCCCATTTTACATGCTGCCCAGATGTTTTTCAGCTCTGTGTGGAAAACCATGCAAGTAAAATCCTTAGTGAGACCAAGTAACTACACTGTGGGTAGCTGCCCATGGGGAAAAGAAGGATTGTCCTCCCCTCTTTGCATGACTGATGAATAGAACACTGAGAAACAGTCATATATATAT